CGCAAGCCAGCGCTCTGTGGCTATCCGCTGCTTCGACGCGGGACTGCAGGATCTGCTCTTGCCTCGGCGAGCCTTGGAAAATATGTTAGATAGTCCAGCCTTTAACGTGAGTTTGAACTTACCATGTCGTCGAAAAATAGGAAGGAGAGATGACTTGGGGTTATCCCTAGGTATATGGTCAAGATCATCAATAAAATATGGGTTGATATCCAGGCAATATGGTTGACAACGCTGCGAGATCTGATTGAAAGGCACGGAGTAGTATTCTGTAGGATTGCCGCTTGTGCGGTCATCTTGATTACTAATTCATCTAAATTAGGGAACCGTTGTAGACTGTTATAGGTCCAAGTATACTACCACACTCAACAGTTCTGATTGTCTGCAAGCAAGATGGTAATCTTCCTGGTCCCTCCCCTCCATTCTCACCGGCCCCAGAGTACGTCGTATAAGTACATGTCAGTCCTTCAATGTCGCAGGAAGCCCAGGCCCTGGCACCTCAGTGAAACAGTCAAGTGGTGGAGCGCACAGCGCGTTCCATTTCAACCCAGGAGGCACCCACTGCCTCTACTTGGCACGCGGCACGTTCCATTTCAACCAGGGAGGAGAATCCTACCTCCACCAAGCGCACGGCGCATTCCATTTCAACCGAGGAGGATACCTCTGCCTCCACTGCCTGCATGGCGCGTTCCATTTCAACCCAGAAGGCACCCACTGCCTCTACGTGGCGTGCGGCGCATTCCATTTCAACCGGGAAGGTGAGTCTACGTCTGCTATAGGACGATAGACCCTTCAGCTTATGGAAGGTCTGTCCGCATCCCACATAGGACGATAGACTCTTCGGCTCATGGAAGGTCTGTCCGTATCCTCCATAGGACGATAGACCCTTCGGTTCTTGGAAGGTCTGGCCACATCCTCCATAGGACGATAGACCCTTCGGCTTATGGAAGGTCTGTCCGCATCCCACATAGGACGATAGACCCTTCGGCTCATGGAAGGTCTGTCCGCATCCTCCATAGGATGATAGACCCTTCGTCTGTCCGCATCCTCCATAGGACGGTAGACCCTTCGGCTCATGGAAGGTCTGTCTGCATCCTCCATAGGATGATAGATCCTTCGGCTTGTGGTAGGTCTGATCAGTACCGATCTGCACTGCCTCTGAGATGCACATGTGACCTTAGCCGCGGTTTCAAATGAATATCAACCTCAAGATCTTACACTGATTCCACTGGATCTTTTCTCTCAGAAACCGGCTGGCAATGATAGGATTTTCGCGACGCGACATGCGTTGTTTATTTGCCATGGAGTCCATCACATGTCAATGCGCACATTTTTTGTTGGTTTAAACTTCGCGTCTACACTTACAGAGTTTCTGCTCACAGTTTCAAATATGAGCTACCTATATTCAGCTGACGATTTTGATGCCAACGGCAACTTTATCTCAACCGGCCGGTTTTTGGATCTGCTAGCTAGAGGTGAAGATACACCACCCAGTGGTGAAGGTGGTAGTCATATTCCCTTGATTAACAATATCGACTGGAACGATCCCTCGTTGTACACCATGCCGCTTACCCATGATGAAATTGCAGCTCTCACTCACGACATAGCGGCCACAAACCACCCCCTTCCAGAGTTGCCTCCCCCCACACATGTTGCTGGCGCGAGCACCTCCCCTGCTCGCACGCCCTCACCTAAGCCCTCTGAAATCCATGATCAAGGCCCGGTAAGTCCCACCCAGTCAGAGGTGTCGGACACCAGTCGAGAGGTGCCAGAGTTACTCCAACGCGAAGCAAACACATCCACATGGGCAGCACGAAACCCAACACGAGCCACCATCCGTCCTCGGACGCCGCCCCCTCGACTGACAGATGCCCAGAAGGCGTCTCGTAAGATCAAGAGGGACCAAACGACGGAGAAAAGGAAGCGCTTACATAACGCTGTCGCTGAATACCTGGAGGAACAACGAGTGAAGATCGAAGCGCTCTCGCGAGCTCATAGTGTGACTCCAAAGGCAATCAACGACATCATCGGGGGTCAGACACATTATCGCAATTCTCGCAAGATGCAGGTGAAAAACGCGCTTGTTCACGCTAAGTCAAAGGAGATGAATGCAGGTACATAAAATACATTTGTTTGATGGTACCGCAAAGCTTATATCATGTCAATTAGACCTACCTGTAGGGTCTCAATATTCATTGGCGGAGCTCCGCAAAATGGTCGCAAGTGACCCCAAGATGAAAGACTTGACGAGGGAACAAGAGGCCGCCTATATTTCAGCACTCGACGAGCATCGTGAAAAAAAGTCGGTTGGTGTTCGGTTGAACAATATAGCAGCTGCACGTGATGTTGTAGCTACGACGGATAGGATTGTCAAAGAGGTGAGTTTGCCCGAACCTGGACTACAATGAACTAACTCATACTTTACTCTTTCAAAGCTGGACGACCTGCGAGTTCGGACTGGCGTCTATGCAACGTTATTTGTCGTTCGCGGTCACATTAACGACACAGTTCAAAGTGCGATGCATGGGACCGATAACTCAGAAGACTTCTGGGAGGACGTATACGAGCATCCTATGGCTGATTTCCTCAGGCAATATGAGCAATGGGCGTGCACCCAGAATCAAAGTGCGCATTTCACATTTTTGTATACTACCAGCCTATTCAATATCCTGCAGATCTTAACGAACGGGACTCTTTGGAAATGGTACGGAAGCAGGTACGTAAAATGATTATCCGTGGTCTTGGTGAGTGAGATCTTGTTTTGTACATGCTGTCCTCGATTAACGTCGTTCGTAGTCGAGGTGACCGGAAAAAAAGATATTGGCATGAATTACCATAACTATGAAACAGCCATCGTCGAGACATACGGGATACGCCTGGTGGGGTGGCCCCACGGTGTTAATTTCATTAGCCCCTCAAACATCGGGACTGTGGGCGACATTCGCAAGCTGCGAGATGCACTGAAGGCGCGAACGTGCTACTGGACTGTTCTCTCACCGGCGGAAATCAAAGCTCACACTGCCGAACTCGAAGCGCGCTGTTCAGCTGGAGATGTCATTCGCAAGCCGCGAAAAAAGCGTTCGGACGCTGGGGTACCTCGGAAACGTAAAGCTGCAACTAGCACAGGTCCTAGTAAGGAGAACCAATGGACGTTGAAAAGAGCAAAAAGGAATTCTGCCCAGCTTCCTCGAGGTCCAAAAAGTGCTGAGTTTGTCCAGTCGTCTGATGAAGGGGGTGACGACGAGTAGTAGTAGTTTATATTACCTTAGTCTAGTCTACATACCAATACAACTCAGTCGCGCATCTTAGTCATTGCCTGTGCACGGGCCGTCGAAACCCGTCGTCAATACATTCATCTGGGCGCGAGATATCGAGATGTGGGAGCTCATCGTGTCGCACAGCGAGCTCGGACCTTAAACGACGTCAGCAACACGTCACGGCATTTGCCGTTATGCCGACGGCACCCAGTCCCGGTATGAGCCTGTGGATCCTACAGCGCTGTGTAAAAGTCCCTCGCTATTGGAGAGATATTGCAGGAGGCGCTGATTGACTGTATTTGCCTCGTGTTAGAGGTGCGAACCCCATTTATTATCACCTGTAACTACAGCCGTTATGTGGGAGTCACAGGTGAAATTAGTGAGGTATAAGACCCACTACTAAGGTAGCGGGAACTTATTTTGGAACCAACGCGACACCAACAAGTGCAATTGCAGAACCGATTCAGTTGCACCATATTGTACTGCTAGTCATAGCAAGAAAACTATAAATCATATGTACGATAAGTCCACAGCTGATAAGGGGAAGTTCAATGATAAAGCTCGCTATGGTCGAAGTTCGCAGTTTATATGAATAAGTGTTATTTGCGCATAGAATTTATGCATCGACTTGTGGGGTCGCAGGCTAAGTGTGCATCAAACGAGTTGTATAGTCAAGCGGACAAGGTAACATGTCAGGTTGGCATACGATATTGATGCAGGGGGTTGGCACGACAAAGATGGACCATAAAATCGGCTATAACATGTCATGTTCTTGAATCAGTATACAGTTTCGAAAATATTCTAAACGCGACGTACATGATTGGGATAAGTTAGCATGCATGATCTAGCGCAACAGTGACTCGGATACAGCAGGGTGCAGTACATCAGACAGCGTGGAATCATCCTTGCACGGCCTGGACAAGAAATATGCACGACTTTACGATTGAAAGCTGGTCGATATTGTTTCAACACATAGTACCGCGGACGACCGCCAGGATCGTATTTTTGGCCTCAGCATTATGGGAACCTCGAGCAAATATCCAGATCAGTATACTGGTTACTGCAGATACGAGACATACCAACCAATTGTGCGCCTCCGACTGGTAAGACTGCCATAAAAGTAAGCTTAATATGACAACGAGAAAGCACATTCAGGCTGTTGCTGTCGAGGAAACCAAAGTGTTTAACGCGCAGGACCAGGCACATCGAGCTTGAAACCACAGGAACGTAATGATAAGGTAATAAGAGATGTATCGAAGACACAAAGACGTACTTCAGACTCCAAGTGACTCACGAGTCTTGAAATGAGTGGCAAAATTTATCCAAATCCGGCATTGCAGAATACATGCATTTGCCGTCCTGCAATATTAATGTGCGATGGTGAACACGGTACACGTGGGGCTAACACAATGAATAGCTAACCTGTTTACAAATTGAGGCGGTCTATCAATGAGAACGTTCCAAGTCCGGTCCTATCTTGGAATACCGTAGGGTATTGGCTCACCATCGGGCAGGTCCAACAAACCCGAGCACTCAGGCACGCGTCCGGTCACTGCTTGGTCAAAAACATAGATGGCTATAATTAAATGTCGTCCACAATGGGCGCAGCTCCGATGATTATACGACAACATGACACGATAAGGTACTGAACCATTCAACACATCGTAAAGGAGGCGTGGTCATTTATCAGAAAGGGGTATGGTAGTCTGTATAGTGTCAAAGGCTGCCTGAGAACAAACTGGGTGGCGTCGACGATGGTTGGTCGCGACGTCCTTCCGAGCCGCTATGTTCTTCTTGCAAACGGAACACCTGAATTTGATACCAATGTGGGTAATGATATGGCGTCTAAAGCTTTCGACCTTCAGCTTCTTCCCACAACGGCCGGCGTGGGGCGTGATCCAGGAGCAGGTGAACAATTCATCTGAGTCGACATCGATGCGATGATATTGGTGAAAGTGGGCAACGATATTCTGGGATAGCTCGTGACTGCAAGGTGTTCCATTGTTGTCCCACCTGCAAGCACGGGTACTATGGCGCTCAATGGAGAGGTCGATATGGGATGAAGTGGAATGGCTAGTGTTGTCATGGCGCAGAGCACGGTGAGGTTGTGGATGATTAAAGATGGGAGCGGGAGGTCGAGAAATGCTCGATCCAAATGCCTGGTTGTGCGCCGGCGAGCAAGAGCCCGTGTATATAGTATCTGGACAAAACACAGCCAAATAAGAAGGGTGTCTTTAACAATCATGAATCCTCTTACCGAGGCATAGACGGCGAGGCTGCGGCGCATGGATATGAGTGACAACATTTGCTACAACTATATTTCGACTAGAAAAACCAACTTATTACCAGTGAATGTCAGCTTATGAGGAACAAACGCACTCAAAAGGATCAACAGCGAAGTCACTATTGAAAGAGGTCATATTTGTGTTACTGCTGAGTCTCGTCAATCGAGTCGGGGGGAATTTAAAATATATGCACCTTATAATCATAGCCACATCCTGCGAACCATCTAGGTGGGCGAGGAGTGATACCATCTCTAGCAGATCCAAGGGGGAAGGTACATGGATACAACTCAGGAAACTTTGTTTTTATATCATGGATCTTCAAAGCTTGACGTCAGTAATGAAACGCGACCGCAGGGGCCAAGAAGCGTGTACATGAGTAGGCCTTGCCAGGACGGATATTGCGGCGGGTAGACGCTGAAGATTGACCTCGTGAATTTTGACATATTAGTCTTTTGGCCGTTGGAAATCGGAATAACCTGAAGGCCGAGGCTGGCATGGTAATGGCATATTACAACCAATTTAATAGCTTCGCCATTGTGGCGTTGAACGTTGAAAGCATCCATATGATAGGACTGCCATCGCGGAATCAGCGAGGAGGTGAAGGTTTTCATATAGGGTGATTCTGAAAGTCAAACAAACTGGAATAAATTGCGCGATAGTCTGGATTATCATATATCGGAGTGCGAAAACAAATTAAAAAATGATAATCTACACAAAATACTAAACCGCAGGCTAATACAGAATATCGACCGCACCCACCACCATGGACGATTTGACAATTCAATCTTTGAAGAACGAAGCAGAGTTGCTAGAGGAAGAAGACGAAGAAGCTGCACCCTTACAAATTCAAAGGTTTATTGGGGAAGGCAGACCACGGCTGGCTTTCAAAGTTCAAACCGTGACGATATGACACCCGGCATCGCGGCACACCTTTTCTAATGTGTAAGATTACTCTGCATTGTTTTTATCTACGGTCACCCAATTATACTAAATGCCCATGATATGCGTATGTTTGCAATTTCCCGCGCTTCCACTTGCTTAGCCATCATTCGATTTGAGTCCTTTGGTTGTGTCATGGCTGCCAGTCTTCATCATGATCTGCTTTGCCTTCTCCATTCGCCTTGGTTCCGCCTGTCTCACTTGTTGTAACAGATCAGCAGATAGTTGATCACGGTGTTTCTGTCTCCTGCTTGTTTGAGCATCGCGGAGTATCGAGAGCGCGGTTTACCCACCTGGAGTCCTTCTGTCAGTGTCTGCTCCGAGTCTTTATTGATAGTTTACCAGTGATGACTCGTACTCATTTGATGATTTGGCACGTGCTCATGCGTTGTCGGCCAAAGTGTCTGATGCTTGCGTTTCTGCAACTTTATAGACACGGCAGTACCTCACTAGATCGTGAACTCTGGTACCCGGGACCAGAGCACAAGGCGAGACTGGTCTTGCAGACATCAAACTTTCGGTACTGCAGCCGTAGTAAGTGGCTCGCAAGTTTCATACTCACCGGTACTGTTTTTATCGAGACGGGAAAGAAAACTCACCTCCTGGTCTGACGGACAATTTCCTGCGGTTATTGCTACTGCTAGATACTCGGACTGGTAAATAAGGTTCCCGCTGACACACCCTCTCTTAGATCTGAAGTACTGTATGTACTTGAGAATATCATTACGCAACAACCAGCCCACAACTACCACGAGCTGCTTGAATCCTGGCTCATACTTATACCAAGATGGTAATTTCAGCCGGGGCTGAACCATTCGCAGCGCTAGTCAAAAATAACAGCTCGTGGGGAACTTCAAGGCAAGATAGAGATGTGATTAATACTCACAGTCATGAAGGTGCTTTCAATCTCCCTATCGTTCTTTAACTGCCTTGCGTCTTTCCGCTTAATTGCGCGAACGAGCGTTACAACATATGCTGAATACGGTGTCGGAAGTCGACTGTGTCTCGTAAAAAGGACAAGAACCGACTGCGTGGAGGAGAGTTGTAAGCGTTTGATTATGCTTGAAAATTCTATTTCTCCGCTCACCGACTGTCGAGTGGATCCAAAGAACCAGTTCTTTTAGCTGGCGCTCATTCTGACTCGGGCGTGTTGTATGAGTACAAGCGTATGAGATACTACTGGTATCATTAGAGGCTGGGATGATGGGAGTTCTTTTTGTACTGTGATTGTTTTCCACCTGCTTGAGGCATGTCCGACCTATTTGCATTTGAGATAGCGCCACAGTGCTTCTCGCTTCATATCTCCTGCGGTACTACCGAGCTCAACGGAGTCTGAGTCAGCGACTTTTCCTCCGAAACAGGGAGGCTTCGGCATTACGCGGTGATCATCACTTGACACTGCAAGGATACGTTTTTGATTACCCCAGTGGTAAGTATTACGGCGATGCTTCTGCACTAATCTCAATGTTTGTACGACGTCCAGGTTCTTTGGAGAGGTCACCGGAGGCGGTCAAGTTCGCGTGATATAGAAATTTCAATTGCGCTAATTATGTCATGTGATGTTCTATTCTTGAAGACCTGAGCTTATGTGAGCATAGTCGTTCCTACCTGGCTGTCCCTGGCCCACAAATAGCCAATAATTGATTTGGCCTTGTTGATAAGTAGCATGACTATCATTTTCGAAATACTAAACGCTGTTTGGACATGAACAACAGGTATAGACTGCTCGACCCAACGCAAGCAACCATTGCTTGAGCCACGAGGTAGCCACAATGCTGCCACATATGTGCAGCATGCACCCGTTATCAATGTGGCAAGAGATGTTATTGGCCGCCACTGCATTTATCTTTGGGAGTGCTCCAAGTTCGTGTCTTTCATACATTCAGGGCCGCCAGCGACACGTTGACCGCTTATGGTTGCGATTAGGCTCGTGACCAGCCTGACGTATACTACCAAGCATGCTCACATCTCAAATTGACGCGTAGTCGGACTGGTCATGTCGCAGCCCCTGCTGCGGCCAAATCTCTGTTTGAACTTCAGGTTTGCATACTTGATACTGGCGTCGCGGTCTCTAAGGGAGGCAGGGGGAGATCGAATGAAGCCGGAGCTCTGCTGTATATCGTTACTTGGACTAACTTGTATTACACGCGACTTAGGCATGCAGAACAGGCCATGATTAATGATGCACAGCCTAATCATTACTCTTAAGTCATGCCGACCCAAGTTCAACGTTACTTGAGCCGCTGAATAGCCAAAGTCACTTCAAGAGACTTCTGTGATGAGTGCAGCATTGCATTTTATTCAGTACTCGTGGTTATCGTCTGCTTGCCAAATTTCTGTCCAGACTCGGTGTGTATCTGTACTTGGCTGGCATCGCGATCTCTAAAGAAGATGGGTGGAAATGGGATGAGTTTGATGGGCAAGTGTGGTGTGATGAGTACTGAGTCCAAACTGAGTCTGCGTCTCCAAGCTAATTATCTTATCAGATAATTTAAGGTATGTGCAGTAATTGCTTGCAAACGTGGCATTTCCAGGTTCCGCTGGTGTCACATTATAGCTTGTAGCTCGTTCAACCAATTGTCAATTACTAATACGGCTTTCAGGATTCCTATAAGCTACAGCCATTCATGAAGCCATGAGCGCTCGAAAAAATGCAAGTTCAAGGCGGGCAACGTGGTTAGCCTTTGGCTTGGTGGCGCTCGCTGCATTCTCTGCCTCAGCTCAGCCTCAAACCGTCAGTGTTATGATGGTTGCACGGTCATGAATACTAACGTGTTCTTTAAGATAATATAGAGAGCACCCAGTCGGAGCTGGAGTTCAGTGTGCAACAAAATGCCCAAGTCCCACATGACGTATGCAGGCAGATTCAAGATATCTCCGTGTTTGGACAGTGCTCATTCTTGTATAGGCTACCGTATATTCGGAACCAAATTTCGACCAGGATGCAGAGGGTGAGCAGGGTCTCCTTCAGCGCTTCAGGGATCTAACATATCACACAGCGACAAGAGCGTACAAGTCTGCTCTATTCACACTTTCTAACCTCACCGCGCATCCGCCATCTCATACCCACAACGTATTCTCCCAACCAACTACAACAACACCTTCTCTTCTATCTGCGCTCCTTCCCAATCCACAAGGCCAAGGCCCTCTAGGAAGTGCAATCCGTATAGCACTAAAGCTTCGTCAACAATTCTCTCTTTTCCGTCTGTTCGGTGGACCCAGTGGAAGTGGTGCGAGGAGAAGGGATGAGGAGATGCGTGGAAAGGCAATAAAGGTGGTGGATCTGCTGCAACATTCTGCTGAACTAGGGAATCTGGATGCGCTTTTTACGCTTGGGTATATATCTCTGGTAGGCCTCCCTTCCACGTGTTCCAAAAGTTAACATGCTAACTTATGTGACTAGTTCCCTCCGAGCTCCCATTTTCCGTCCGACCCTAAACTTGCGTATGATTCGCTCTTGCACCACGCTGCACTGACAGGCAACGCTTCATCGCAAGCTCTTCTCGCCTTCTTCCATGCAACAGGTTATGCAGATGTTGTTCCCATTGATCAAGCCCAAGCATTATTATATTATACATTTGCTGCTCAGGGCGGTCACAAAGGCGCACAAATGGCTCTGGGGTATCGATACTGGAGCGGCATCAGTACAGTTGAAGACTGCGGACGGGCAGTCGAATGGTATGAGGCTGCTGCAGATGAAGGTGAAAGAACCATAGTTTTTTTGAGTCTGCAAAGTTCTTACAAAGCATCCTAGCGATGTCAATGTTCCTGTCTGGTCCGCCTGGTGGCCAGACCCTTCCGCAGACTGCAACACGGTTGTCTGATTTAGATGGGGGTGTATTCGGGCCGGGCGCTAGTGTTGCATCCACCGGCATGAACGTTATTAGGCCCGCTGTCAAGGCTGGCTTAGCACAGACTGCTGGCGAGACGTGGGACGACGTTCTTGAGTACTACATCGTGCGTTTTTTTCATCTACCATGTCACTTGTGAGTTTCCTTGATGCTCACCGACTACCAAACGAGTCCGAGCCTTTCGATTGACGTTCATTGCGGTATCTGCCGATTTAGTGCATAATTAACTATTCTCATCTAATTCTGCCAGTGGTCAGATGCAGAAGTCGGGCTCTTGGCTTCGACTGTCGCGTTGTAAGTGGTGATACATCATTTGTATTGGGTACTTACTCCGCACAGATGGCCATGTTAATGAGGGTAGCACTTATTGATGCCCACGACAAAGAATACATCATAACCTCAAAACTTCTCGAACCGCTGAAAGCGGCATCACTTCCTTGTTAACGCAACCGTTTTGGGATGTTTGTAGAGTATGGCGTTCATTCCAGTGTCTGTTGATTTGGTGTGTCTTCGAGCGATTAAATATTCTCACATGAGTTCAATTCTAGCCGTCTAATTCCGCCAGCGGTTAGATGTAGAAGCTACAGCGCGCTCCAGTGCGCTGAATAGCTGAGAATAATCAACACTGGCTAAAGGACATCCCCTTTCGTACTTCCGTTGATGCTCGTCTACCTGCGCAGCACGGTCCTGAAGGTACGATTTTTTGATTCCAGATGGGCTTAGCCTGCATGACTTACTTCTATTCCCGCTTCGTACAGTGCCGCACGTGCCTTCCTTCACCCTCCAAAGTCATCCTCATACAAACATCCACGTTGCACAAGACGTCAAAAAATTCCGGACTGTATTGGTATCAAATTTCTAGAATGTTTCTATTTCTATGTCGAACACGTTGGTAACGGCATTTACTCAGCGAGGCATCATCTCATACGGTGACTATTTTCTGCAGGCTCGAGGCGACAAGCTTCTGCACTGCTTTGGACGTCAGCGATGTAACCTACAACTATTCAATGACCCATGGCGTGCGTGTGCCATTTGGCAAGCACTCGACACCATCCGGACATGTAGAACAGGCAAAATGTTGTACGCTGTGATGCTCACACCAAACTGGCAGGTTTAATGACTCTTTCTTACTGCCGCTTGAGGTGCAGGTTGGCCCTAGGAGGCTGTGGCAAAGAACTTTTCGTGTAACAAGAAAGCACCCGCAGACAGGAACAAATGTAACCCTACTCGTAAACGATGAAGACGAATAGCAATGCATTCACTTACCTTGACATCTTTAGCTGGCATCAACATTCTCGCATCTGCTTGAACCAACGGACACTATATAAACACTCGTGACTATTGGTCGTCGATCTTGTGTCATTCGCGTGCAAGCGCGAAGTGGAGTTGAGCGCTTGAGCGCTTCTGATACGCCCATGCAACTTGAATATTGAATATTGAATGTCCGACCAAATAATAGCGCCGAATTCTACGAGTATGACAAATGGTCCGATGTCTTAGCACCCTGCACATCACATCATCGCGTCGGCAGTTCATATATCTTTGGCACATTCTGTCCTCCAAATCTGGTGAACAAAATTCCCAGGTGAGATTTAGCCCCATTGGATTCGACGAACACGGTCTAATTTAAATCGAGGCGATCTATCTATGACTCAATGAGATGGTGTGGCTAACCCCAGTCATGCGCACCCGTCCTCAGAATCCCGCAGGATAGTTATCGTCTCACCATCAGTAGTAAGCACGCATATCCAACGAACCCGAGTACCCAGGCATGCGTCGAGTCAGTGTTTGATCATAAAACATAGATAGTATCATCCACATTGAGCGCAGCTCCAATAATTATATGACAATGTAACATAGTGACTGAACCGTTCAAAACATCATAAAGGAGGTGTGGCCATTGTGAGAAAAGAGCGTGTCACTTCGTGATAGTGTCAAAGGTTGCTTGAGCGCAAGCTGCACGGCGTCGACGGTGCTTGGCAGCGAGGTCATTCCGAGCCGCCATCCTCTTCCTGCAAACGGAGCACCTAAATTTGATACCAATGTGGGTGATGATATGGCGAGTAAAGCTGTCGACCTTCAGCTTCTTCCCACAACAGCCGGCGTGGGGCGTGATCCAGGAACAGGTGAATGATTCGTCTGAGTCAACATCAATGGGATGATATTGGTGAAAGTGGGCGAAAATGTTCTGGGATGTGAGCTCGTGAGTGCAAGGTGTTCCTTTGTTGTGCCACCTGCAAGGATGAGTACTGTTGTGCTCATTAGAGGGGTTGACGTGGGATGAACCAGAGTAACTAGCGCCGTCATAGCGCAGATCACGGTGAGGTTGTGGATGATTAAAGATGGGAGCGGGAGGACGAAAGATGTTTAATCCAATTGCCTGGTTGCCCGTCGGCGAGCAGATGGCATCTAGATAAAAACACAACCAAGTAAGAAGGGTGTCCTCGACAATCATGAATCCTCTTACCAAGGCATAGACACTGAGGCTGTGGCGCATGTAGTACACGAGTGGTAACATCCGCCATAACTACGCTGGTTCGACTAGAATAACCAAATTATCAGCGGTGAATGACAACTTATGAGGGAAAAACGCACTCCTCAAGAGGGTCGATGGTCAAGTCATTATTGAAAGAGGTCATATTCATGTTACTGCTGAATCTCGTCAATTAAATTGAAGAATATTTAGAATATATGTACCTTAGAAGCTTAAGCACATCCTGCAGATGATGAGCGAGGAGTGATACTATCTCTAGTAGATCCGAGGATTAAGAAAGGAGAAGAGCGAGAAAGGTACATGGATGCAGCTTAGGAAACCATGTTTTTATAGTTGATGGGTGTCCAAGCTTGTCGCCATTAATGAAACGCGACCGCAAGGGTAAGAAACGTGTCCATGAGCAGACCTTGCCAAGGGAGATATTGCAGCGGATAGACGTCATTGGCAAATCAGGAGATTGTCCTCGTGGATTTCGACGTGATGTTGGTTTTTTGGCTGTTGGACGGAGTGGTCCGATAGCCGAGGCTAGTGGCAATGACATGGCTATTTGCTTTACCGATTTGAGGACCTCGTTGAACCATTGAACGTTGAAATTTTAAAAGGCCATCTGCCTGGTGCCATCACCATGGAAAGGTTTAACGATTGATATGCTTAGTAATGTACACCTATGGATGAGTGTTTGGCAACAAATAGTAGTAACAGATACCATTGATACTAGCCTTGGGCCAATTATCGCAAGCATGCTTGCGCTCCCTCAACATTTTCCTCCGAAGACGTCACCTCCTTCACTTACGGACCTGGTGAAGAATGAATGAATGTTACATATGAAATACGTAAAACTTCAGTCTACCTGAATGCACCGAATCGATGCTGTGTGAATGCAAGGAAAACGGCTAGATCATCACCATATTTATCGAGAGAAGGGCACACAATCCAATGGTGTCCTGAATGAACTTAGTAAACACCTATGAACGAGAATCTGACACTCGCTCACGCTATAGTGCCTGTCATAGAGAGTTACGGTACTGTCGTCTGGATCTTGGCGCGGTTCAACGTCGGCGAGCAAGATCATGGGGTCCGCGTGCGGTGTTGGAGGTGAGAACAACTAAAATTTCAGCTGTTGCATATAGGGTTCATGCAGAGCATCATTGCAGGTACCATGAATATTTGGCCAATGCCATCCGGGATAAGCTGCGGAAGTTTCCGCCCAGCGCCTTTCTTCATCTTTCATTCGCTTCTTCCCCTCCGACGGCGAGCCCGATCTCGCTTGGACTCATCCTCGCCCAAAACATCCCCATCTTTTGTCGAGCCCTTCTTTCATTTTTAATAAATAATGGTATTTATATATCTGGAAATTTTCTTCCCATTCCACGATTGAGTCAGCGATCAGTTGCCCCGCCACCCAGCGGCTCCAGCTGCTCGCGTCCCACCCTGACTCGGAGTTTCGCTCGGTCCAGCCCAACCACCGTAAGATCGTGTCGACGAATGGTAGCATTAGCGCAGACGAAACTGGAATCTGTAGCCTAATCAAGGACGTCAACACTTCTCATCGAAAGGAGATTCTTACAGTGCACGGAGTCCGTAATACGATCAATCAAGGTTATTCAATGATGTAGATCTAGCATCTTATTCCTATGGCACGCGGTTACAGCACACCCTGGCCGGTACACGAGTGTGACCAAAAAGGAACTCGTGTCTTCGACAGCGAAAGATATACATTTCAGTCCAAGATCGATCGATCGATCCCACAGATGCCTTGAATCAGATCTTGGAGTGCGTACTCTGAACTTTCACTGACGAAACGTAAGTACATGTGCGCGACTTCAAACCTTCACTGACCGGGCAGTAAGAGGAGAACGAGTCACACTGACTGATATCTTGAAAGATGACCCATCTTCTCGTTATTGCCACCCGCAGGTACACCTAGGCAAATATTCCCGCTACAGTGGTAGTGGGTTTTGTGGCGCTATGGCATTTGATGAAAACCGCATTCCTGTTTTAAATGGTGATTTGTTCGCACGGTCCTGCAGGACTCATGTATTGTCTCTGTTACATCGATCTTCTTCAGTATACCTTCGTCGACTATGTCTTTTATTTATCACGAAGTCATTGGATCTTTCAGCCTTGTACATGTTCCTTGCCTCATAACCCCCTGTTTTTTCGCGTCAATGGTGCAGTTCTGATTCCACTGTCTCCTTCTGCACACTTATAATCATAATGTGTGTTTTTGATCATAATGGAGTGGCTGTGGAGTCGACTTTTGGTCCGGTGCGCATTCCTACTGTCGATGGTTGGTATAATTCTCGACAAACATTTCGCCCCGTCTATCTGGATGGGTGCAATGTCGAACTTGGCCGTGATTTGCTTCCATTCGTAAATGCGAAGTTCGATGGCTTTCGATTTCTTCGGCCTTCCGAAATGGATCTTGCGCAGTTTTCTGTTAGTCATACTTGGAAATTTCATCCTGGAGGTATGTGTATTCGTCCGAATCATTTTCATATGGCTCCAAGCTAAATAATGATTTATAGAGAATGTGTCTTCTTCGCCTGTTATCCAAGTGGGATTATGTCTAGCTACCCACACGGCTCTGGAAAGTCGGACACTCGCTGAACGATGAAGGACAGCGGGTCTTAAGATCCTGCATCGTATGAATCAGTCACTCGTCAGATGAAGCACTTGTGAACTTGTCTCCGCACCAAATCCCAATAATCGAAGACTCCGTAGAGCTCAAATTCACCTATCACAACTCCAAGAAAATGTGTCACATCACTCGAACGCAAGTGCCAGTTCCTCCAGGGTTCGTGATCACTGCACATAAGTCGCAAGGACAGACACTCGAGAAAATAATGATGGATCTTGGCTCCAAATGGTGTCGAGGCGCCGAAAAGCCATATGTAATGGTGTCTCGTAATCTGTACGATACTACGTGTCTATAACACCAATTGATTCACATTATGACTCGAAAAAGCGACTGTAGCGGGCTCTGCCGCGAGTGGCCTTTCGCATTATTGGAACTCGAGAGCCTTAATTATCCGAGGTCGTCTAATTTGCATTACTTTGATTCGCGTCACATATTACCCACTTCATTTAGTTAGTACGCTGAATTTGTTGCATGAGGTTGCCACCTGCGAGACTAAAAAAATTGTGGTCCATGTTTGATACGAAGAGTATTGTTAAGACGCTGATTGCTTTTCTGATTGCTACAATCCGTGATATAAATAAATTGGTGTCTCGTACATTCAGGCCAATATAGCAGATCTATGTGACTCCACTGAAGGCGGCGAGCCTGTTTCCAGCATTGTTCACGCCCTCGAAATTTCTCATTTGGCGGGAGAGGAAAATAACGAGTCATCCGACTCTCCTGTCCCGCAAAATATCTCGGCAGCGGACCTAAATATGAATTTGGCTACGCGGTGTTTTCCACGTTTCCCCTTTCTGCAAATAGCAGTACCTCGCTAAATTAAATTGTGAGCGTTTGAACTATGGTACCCGGGACCAGAGCAAAAGGTGAGACCGGTCTTGCACACGTCAAAGTTTTTGTGCTGTAGTCGTAGTAGTAAGTGCTTCACAAATTTCATACTCACCGGCACTATTTTTGACTTGTGGAAATAGGGACAGAGAATCAAACTCACCTCCTGGTCTGACGGATAATTTCCTAAGGTTATTGCTACCGCTAGATACTTGGACTGGTGAATAAGATTCTCGCTGACGCAACCTTCTCCGAGTCTCGAACTCGAGTCCTGTACGATGCACTTGAGAATGCCATCACGCAACACTAGCCCCCAACTACAATCCCAGGGTAATTTTTATACCAAGATGTGACACTGGTTTCAGCAAGGATTAAATCATTGAAGGCAAAGGAGAGATGTGATGACTGCTTACAGCCGTCAATGTGCTTTCGATCTCCACATTGCTTTTTCCTGCTTTGCATCTTTCCGCTTTACTGTATGAATGAGTTGTTTCAACAAATCACTTTGAAAGAGCTGCTCGCACACACGAATTAGAGCTTCCAAGCCAGTGGAAGCGAGGGTATCCGGCCCTTTCTCCTCATACGCTGAATACGGTATCCAAAGTGGACTGTGCCTTTGTAAAAAAGAATAAGAACCGACTGCATTAAGTAGAGTTGTGAGCGTTTTAATTATGCTTGAAAATTCCATTCCTCCGCTCACCAACTGTCGAGTGGATCCAAAGAGTTCGGTTCTTTCAGCTGGCGCGCATTCAGTGCTGGGGCCATTATGGTATGCTGTACGAGTGCAAGCGCATGAGATAGTACTGGTATCAGGCTAGTAGCCTGAGATGGATGGGACCGTTTCGTTATTCTTTTGTAGGGTTTTAGTTTCCACCTGCTTCAAGCATGTCCGACCTATTCCCATTTGACATAGCACCGCATTGCTTCTCTTTTCATATCTCCTACAGAAGTACACCGGGCTGATCAGTGACTTGCATTGAACTGAATTTCCTCCGAGTCAGGAAGGCCTCGGCGTTTAGCCGCTAGTATGTTGTGATCACCACTCCACACTGCAAGGATATATTCTTGGTCACTCCAGTGTCAGGTATTAAGCTCCTGCACCAATTTCAATGTTCGTACAACGTCCAAGCTCAAGGCTTGTAAAGGTGGAGGTGAATGAATGGATATTCTATTTACGTTCTGTAATGTCAAGTTCACGTGAGATAGAAGTTTCAATTGTAACGTGACTTGACCTGTTAAACACGCTTTTACTGCACCCCCTACCAGCTACGGATTGTGGGAGCCCGTAGCCTACAAATAGCTAATGATTGCTTTGGCCTTGGTGACTGTGTGAATTTTATCGCTGCTCGGACATGAAGAACAGGCTCAGGTGGAGGCTAGAGACCGCTCGTCTCGATTTGTGCAAGCGACGTACGTTACTTGAGCCACGGGTTGGCCAACATATACAGCATGCACCCGTTATCAATGTGGCAAGAGATAATACTGGCTGCCACGTAATGCATAATGTTTCCGAATTTATCCCAGATGATTTTTTTCGGGAGTGCTTCAAGTTCGTGTCTTTAATGCATTCAGGGCCACCAGCAACACGTTGACCGCTCGTGGTCGAGGCTAGGCTCGAGGCCAGCCTACGTATACTGCCACGATGCTCCATCTCATATTGAATAGTCAGACTCGTTACAAGTCTAGGTTGTGGCAGTTGCTGGCGACCAAATCTCTGTTCAAACTTTAGGTTTGGTTTCAAAATGCTGGCGTCGCGGTCTCTGAGGGAGGCAAATGACTCAAGGGGAGATCGCGATGCCAGAGTTCTGTTGTATATTGTCAGTTGGGTAAATTTGAGGAATCATGTACTAACTCGTGTATTACACGCGACTTGGGCATGCAGAACAGGCCATTATAATTTAATGCTGCACGGCCTGATACTCTGAGTCATACTGACCCAAGTTCAACGTTACTTCAGCTGCGGAATAGCGAAAGCTATGGAGCATACATCCGTTGTTAACGTATCAGGAGACTTCTTCTGTGATGTCGAAGAGCAGTGACTTGTTGGCTCTTGTTGGCCGCCTCCCCAGCGTTGCGTGTTGTTCAGTGCTCATGGATATCGTCTGCCTGCCAAACTTCTCTGCAGACTCCGAGGTATACATCCTTTTACCTGGCTGACATCGCGATCTCCAAAGAAGATGGGTGGAAGTGGGACAAGTCTTGATGTAATGGTGTGGAGTGAGTACTGACTTGGAGTCCGTAGTACACAGAGTTATCTTATCAGATCAAAATAATTGCTTGCAAACGTGGCATTTCCAGGTTCCGCTGGTGTCACATTATAGCTTGTAGCTCGAGTCGTTCAACCAATTGTCAATTACTAATACGGCTTTCAGGATTCCTATAAGCTACAGTCATTCATGAAGCCATGAGCGCTCGAAAAAATGCAAGTTCAAGGCGGGCAACGTGGTTAGCCTTTGGCTTGGTGGCGCTCGCTGCATTCTCTGCCTCAGCTCAGCCTCAAACCGTCAGTGTTATGATGGTTGCACGGTCATGAATACTAACGTGTTCTTTAGGATAATATAGAGAGCACCCAGTCGGAGCTGGAGTTCAGTGTGCAACAAAATGCCCAAGTCCCACATGACGTATGCAGGCAGATTCAAGATATCCCCGTGTTTGAACAGTGCTCATTCTTGTATAGGCTACCGTATATTCGGAACCAAATTTCGACCAGGATGCAGAGGGTGAGCAGGGTCTCCTTCAGCGCTTCAGGGATCTAACATATCACACAGCGACAAGAGCGTACAAGTCTGCTCTATTCACACTTTCTAACCTCACCGCGCATCCGCCATCTCATACCCACAACGTATTCTCCCAACCAACTACAACAACACCTTCTCTTCTATCTGCGCTCCTTCCCAATCCACAAGGCCAAGGCCCTCTAGGAAGTGCAATCCGTATAGCACTAAAGCTTCGTCAACAATTATCTCTTTTCCGTCTGTTCGGTGGACCCAGTGGAAGTGGTGCGAGGAGAAGGGATGAGGAGATGCGTGGAAAGGCAATAAAGGTGGTGGATCTGCTGCAACATTCTGCTGAACTAGGGAATCTGGATGCGCTTTTTACGCTTGGGTATATATCTCTGGTAGGCCTCCCTTCCACGTGTTCCAAAACTTAACATGCTAACTTATGTGACTAGTTCCCTCCGAGCTCCCATTTTCCGTCCGACCCTAAACTTGCGTATGATTCGCTCTTGCACCACGCTGCACTGACAGGCAACGCTTCATCGCAAGCTCTTCTCGCCTTCTTCCATGCAACAGGTTATGCAGATGTTGTTCCCATTGATCAAGCCCAAGCATTATTATATTATACATTTGCTGCTCAGGGCGGTCACAAAGGTGCACAAATGGCTCTGGGGTATCGATACTGGAGCGGCATCAGTACAGTTGAAGACTGCGGACGGGCAGTCGAATGGTATGAGGCTGCTGCAGATGAAGGTGAAAGAACCATAGTTTTTTTGAGTCTGCAAAGTTCTTACAAAGCATCCTAGCGATGTCAATGTTCCTGTCTGGTCCGCCTGGTGGCCAGACCCTTCCGCAGACTGCAACACGGTTGTCTGATTTAGATGGGGGTGTGTTCGGGCCGGGCGCCAGTGTTGCATCTACCGGCTTGAACGTTATTAGGCCTGCTGTCAAGGCTGGCCTAGCACAGACTGCTGGCGAGACGTGGGATGACGTTCTCGAGTACTACATCGTGCGCTTTTTCATTACTATGTCATTCTTTCAACTTATGTAAGTTTAGTTCAACGCTGACAGAGGAGAAACAGACTTTGCGTACAAGTTGGGGAAGATCTATTACCAGGGTAGCATCTACTCTTCTGCGGGTGGTATTGGTTCTGGCTCGGAAGGGGTTGGACGTGTCCCCCAGGACTTCCATCAAGCTCAGTTTTACTTCCTCCAGATCGCACGGCAGATTTGGCCTCGTGACCCTACGAACCCCTTACAGCATAGTGCACCTGGTTACAAGGTTGAAAACGTCAAGCATCCTGGATACGCACCAAAGAGCGCGGCATATCTCGGGCGGATGTATCTCCGGGGCGAGGGTGTGAAGCAGGACTACCTGATGGCCATGATGTGGTTTGAACGAGGGGCCGAGTTTGAGGACAGAGAATGCCATAATCTATTGGGTGTCATGTGGAGAGATGGTCTAGTGTCCGGACGCCAGGATATGAAGACAGCTCTTGTACACTTCACTAGGGCCGCAGGTCAGGAACTCGCAGAAGCTCATGTCAATCTTGGAAAGTACAACTATCGTGAGCCTATATTTCCCCAAACGAACGCTTGTATTTGCTCAACAACAAACAGATCGCGGCGAATTCAAGCTTGCTATCACGTACTTTGAAGCTGCAGTGCGCTTTGGCTCGACGTTTGAGGCCCACTTTTACCTTGCGAAGATTCACACCCTAAACATGCGTGTTGCAAATGAAGGTTTCGCAGCAGGCTTTTGCGCTTCTGCGGTTTCCTTCTTCAAACTTGTTGCTGAGCGGGGAGTTTGGGATGATGATCTCCTGACAGATGCCGAAGCTGCCTGGTATAGCGGCACCGAGCGTGGCAAGGAAATTGCGATCCTTAAATGGTGGGTTGCGGCAGAAAGAGGATCCGAAATGGCACAAAATAATCTCGCTTATGTTCTAGACCAAGGTAAGCTCAAATGAAGTTGAAGGCCCTCGCAACCTGATCTATTTACAGATCGGAGCATGCTTCGTCTCACGCGGTTCGCCCCTATTGAGGCATCCAATGATACCGCTCTCCTCGCCCTCACTCAGTGGACGCGTTCCGCTGCCCAACGAAATATTGATGCACTAGTCAAAGTCGGTGACTACTATTACCACGGTCTTGGTGTCCCCGATGAACCCGAGGCGCTTAGATGGGAAAAAGCGGCCAAATATTATCAGAGCGCTGCCGATACGCAGCTCAGTGCGCTGGCGATGTGGAATCTAGGCTGGATGTATGAGAATGGTGTTGGCGTACCCCAGGTGAGAATTTTGACCCTTGGATGTTACTCGTGGTTCATGAACATCCTTGACAGGATTTCCATCTTGCTAAGAGGCATTATGATATGGCGGTCGAGACGAATAGCGAGGCATACTTGCCTGTGCTACTCTCCCTCGTGAAGTTGTATGGTCGGAGTCTCTGGTACACTCTTCAGGGTGGCAAGGATGGTCTTAATTTGTGGAAATATGATGCAGACAAAAGTGCGGCGCATCTCACCATAGTCCACAATATTGGCTAATGTGCTTGCAGTGTCTGTAGCAGAAAGAGCTCGCTTGAAACAGGAAATAGATAGTGGTTCCCAAGACACTTCTCAACAAGATGGCGGTGCTCAACCTGCCCCTCACAAGGAGGAGAGGGCTGTCGAAGAGTCTGAGGATGATGGGAAGTGGTATATAGGCAAAGCCAGCGAAGATTTCCGCAGACGAAGGCAGGGCGAAGCTGCTCGTACGGCAGCTGCTGAGGAGGAGGATGATCTATACCAAGTGAGCATTTCCTCTATTATCATTTCGCCACGCGCTTTCTTATCCTCCAACACAGTGGGCACAAGAGAGAAGGAACGCGGAACACGAAAGGGACACTGATTTCGGTCCCGAGGACTATTTCGAAGCTGCTATTCGTGGTGGACACCAAAGGCAGGAAGAAGTAGACGAGTTTACGGAGACGTTGTTACTGGTGGCTCTCTGTGGTCTTGTTGCACTCCTTATCTACGTCCGCACGCGTATCGTGCGTAGAACTAGAGGGCAGGAACAAGAACCGCAGCAGGACCGTGAGGGTCAGAGAGATTTAGGGTTGTTCCCGCCACCAGGCGATCCAGCCCGGCAGGAATGGAACATCGCGCATTAGCGGATGATATCACACGTTCTGTATTATGGTTGCAAGTATATAGCCGTGACAGCACATCAAAACGTAAGTTTGGGTCATTAGATCCGATTTGAAACCAGTCTTGCTGCCACCTTATTTGTGGATATTTGGCTAGTCAGCCCCTTGTGCGAGCACCGCGGGTTGTTCAAGTGTCGAGATTCGAGATAAACGCCAGCCTGGGAATCACTGTAAAGTCGGGCATAACTCAAGCATACCTACAAGTTTACGCTTCTCGGTCTTGTGATTAGACCCTATTTCAAACCTCGAGCAGTGGTTCACCTTTACGACGCCTGAGCTGGCACCCAGCGGCACCATTGCCACTATGAGCTTCAACATAGAAGATCTCGAAGGCCCCATTACGCACATCCTCACTGCTCCAGGTGTTGATTTGAGCACCATCAGTGCGAAGGGAGTTCGGCAGAAGTTACTGGAGGACGCCGCGTTGGCTCTGACCGCTCGAGGACTGAAGGAACGAAGGACAGAGGTGGACGCTATGATTTCAAGTATCTATGAGGTCGTTAGTCGGCAAGCACAAACAGACGAATCGAAGAGGAAACGCGAGGAAGGGACAGATGAAGGCACGGAACAGGAAGAACAAGCAGAGGATACGGAGGACCAAGATGACGCTGTAGAGGAGCACGACGGAGAAGCATCGGAGGAGGAGGATGTCAAAGTGCCAACGAAGAAAAAGAAGGGTGCTGCGAAAAGTGTCGAGGAGGCTGATGCTGAGTTGGCCAGGAAACTTGCATCAGAACTCAACTCCCGGTCACGGCGTGGCGCATCAAACGGCGTATCTGCCACGCCCAAGAAACGTAAGACGAAGAAGAGTGCAGCTGTGGTTGATTCTGGTGCTGAGGACGATGGTGAAGATGAGGGGAAGCCGAAGAAGAAACGCAGTGGAGGTGCAAGAGGAGGTTTCGCGAAGGAATATATTCTCAGGTGCTTCAAATGCCCCTGTTCTATGCCTTTTATTACCGTGCGATATCCTCATCTTTTCTTCATTTTGCAGCGAATCTCTATCAGTGGTTGTTGGCGTGGACAAGCTTTCGCGCCCCCAAGTCGTGAAGAGACTATGGGAGTATATCCGTGGCCATGAACTTCAAAACCCCTCCAACAGACGTGAGATCATGTGCGACGACAACATGCGAGCTGTCTTTGGTACTGAAAAGGTCGATATGTTCCGGATGAACAAAGTTCTGGGACGGTATGTCCACTCCGACTGCTTCAAGATTCATGTTCTTAATGGCTCCGCATTTAGGCATTTACATGCCCAGTGACAACACTGGGGAGAGGTACACCAAGCCGACGTGTCGTTAGTTCTACAGTGGTTATCGGTATCTCTGGCACGCATAATTTATGGATTACAGTTAGCCTTGTGTGTTCACACAATTGGACCTACACAACGAATCCGGAACAACAGACTCAACACGTACAAAAAGAATGACAGTCTCGAAGCACTTAGGTCGTAAGTAAATATGGTATGACTTGCCAGTACATGAATGTTACCTTGAGTATCGTGAATGACTCGTGAATGACTCTAAAAACGCCAGCTAGTTCAAATTTTGCAGCTTCATCCACTCCTTGTCGTTTGCATTAAAATCCACACCCTTATTCTTCCACCACCTCCTTGCTTTGTCCCCACCGCCAATCGCATCCTCAAGCGCTTCTTCGATGTCGCACATACGATATTGAATCGGTAACCCACTCTGATCCCACCACTCCAGCACTTCGCTTCGGTTATGCCGTGTTGCACCGGTCAGCACATCCTGGTCAAAAATAAACTGTAGCCCGCTTCCGAGCCACCACTGCAGAACCTCCACCTTCCCCACGCAGCTGGCATGGTGCATGACATGACGGTCATACGTATACTCCAGCTGCGACGTCGCCCACCACTTAAGGGTATCCACATGCCCCGCTTGACTTGCTAACTCCATGACACGCCCGACCTTCAGGGGCAGATTATTGGCGAGATGCTGGTACTTCCACCACTCCAGGACATCAATGCGATTTTTTGCACTAGCGCCTTCAAGAGCAGCTTCTGTGTAGTCCAGCGGGAGCCCAGAAGTCACCCACCAGTCCAGAGACTCTACTTGGCCACTACGAGAGGCTCTGTCAATGGCACGAGCAATAGACCCAGGTTTGGGGGGATTCACTAAATCTGGATGTTGCTCGAAGCCATGTTTCCACCACGACAGCACGTCTATGCGACCGTGCTTTGATGCGTGAAAAGGGATCAAATCATCTTTGAAGATAGACAGGAATACGGGGCGATATTGTGTAACAAAAAATTCCAGCACATTGACGTAACCAAATCGCACGGACGCAATAGCGCCGTGGCTTGAAGGGGGATTAGCTGCAGGGTCTGCTGCACGGATCAGAGGAACGTAACCCGTGAGCATAGAGAGGTCGATGGGTGTAGGGTTGCTCCAATCGCTTGGAGGAGACAAGGACGTAGGAATGCCCAATGCCCGAGAGAGCTCCCAATCACCAAGATGATCAAAGATCTCAGCCAGAACTTCGACGGGTAGGTCTACAGGACGTTCTGTGGTCCTCGTATCTTTCCCTTTGTCCATAAGAGACATTGGGGCATCACTAGAGATCGTTGGAAAATGATAGGTGTGGAAATCGTGCTGGGCTAATCTGGATGCAAGTTCTATGTCCGCGCCCGATGTTGGCAGGTTGCGAACTTTGAGGAAAAGCACGAGCTCATCGTGTGGGAGCCGACAATAGGCATTGAAAACAGCTTTAAATGGATTGTCATGATTCTGCAGGGAGCTATCAGATCAGTACTAGTGCGGAACGAAAGAATGATGAGAAAGATATTCACCGCCATATGCAGACGCCCAGAAAGATGTGGCTTGGGAATGAGATGCACACGAGGCTGTGAGGAAACGGACCACGTGGCTATGCTGAGACACAATGAGCTCCACAGCTTCAACTTGAAGTTACTCTGTGTATATGTTCAAGTCTTCGAGCTCCGAGTCCTCTATTAAACCTTTCTCAACCTGTACTGGAACACATTTGCAGCCGCGAAAGGACCGTTGATTCAAATTCAAAGTCAGTCCAGAGTCCAGACGAGTCCAGGCAGGATTTGTTCGAGGCGTCTGAAGAATGTGCTGCCCTGTCTTCATGATGTGGTGCAAAACGGCATCGATGGTCGCCCTGGTCCTAGTTCGCCTCGACTTGGAAGATTTGTACTTGGCGACTCGGAGTTCCGGACCCGTCGAGTCACATGGATTTTGGAGAACAAGAGTTCCAGACTCTGCTCAACCACGCTTGGTCTTCTCGGAGGACTGTCAACCTTCCAGTTGTTCAGCCTCAGGGTCAACAAGTGGGAGTATCTATTTATTCACGCGGGCGCTATTAGACCATGATGATACGAGGCAGAGTACTTGTCATATCCTTGTTTGCCTGAGCTTATCTCTCTGACTTTGGTCAAATGAATTTAGGACCTGGTTTATCAAAGTAATAGACATTCTGTCTGTATCTGTGACATGTGAACAGCATGACCTATACAAAATAATCATTCTGCTGTACGTCCAGTGTCGCACTAGTAGCAGTGCCCAAGAACCCTACTCTTCATCCCTGCATATAACCAAGTACAGCAATCACACGTACATCCGGAACACCCGAACGAAAAGAGTCACGGAAAGCTGATAAGTAATAAACCTACCACATGCAGTATCGTAGGCGCTTAAGCTTCAGAGCAAGGAGCAGTCTTTCATCGTTCATTTACTAACTGCAGCTTTTTGTTCATTCCCGGGAGGGTAGACTACCTGACGCCTAACCTTCATCCTCGTGCGGCATAGTCCACGGGCGATACAGGAAGAGTACGTTGTTCAGTTTCTGGAACACAATAGAAAGCAGTGACGCAGCCTGTACTTTGCAGATACTTCTACATAGGTCCTGTGGCTGATGCAGTTCGTCGCACAGCAAAATCAACATCCGACTGAGTTTAACGTCGTTCTAGACTATACGTATACGTCACGGAAGATGTTCTTTAAGCGCGTCCTCTACGTTCATGGACGTATTTTCTCTAGAGGCCGTCGAACGATTCGCCCGAGGGACCTCGGAACACAGGAGGCAATTGCAAGTCGTCGTCGTTCCGCCACTCTCATAAGGTTATTCACACCCAACACTGAATAGGCCAGATCAAAGGTCAGTCGTGATTGATTGCGTTCTTATCATGCTCGTTGTTCATCATATACAGCGGCTATTGCTAAATCTGTAACACCGAGATATTGAAGCAGAAGTCACAGCAATAGGTGATCAATCAGCACTCACAGCCAACTATATAGATCCGGACTTCCTCTGAAAATCGTTTTGGAGAATGATACTTTGGTCGTACCTGCGATGTGTTTTTGGCTGTGCTGAATGACGTTAGCACAAGGTTCTATCTTTGATCGCACGATCGCATGTCACGGTCCAGGGCGATCATGTCGTCATGGCCGTGATCAACTGACCCTCATCAATCATTTCTGTAGCGCTCAAGTAAGCGTCTTCCTTGTGAACGGGGGATGGAACTACTCGTTCAAGGTATAATTACGGCTTTGATTCTATGTCGACAGGTACTGCATTCACTGGTCAATATGGACAGTCATCGCTTTCTGCCGTAAATCCAGTGATGCTCCTGTGCTGGTGACAGGTAGGATCACAAACTTGAAAGACTTCAAATGGTAGTGTGAGATACCGGGCGTCTATTTCGCATATATATGCTCAGCCCTAGCCGCCTTACTGATCCCCCAACTTCGATATGCTCAGAGCGCTTGCCAGTCTCTTATGTGGAGGACGGTATGCCATCTTAATGGCTGCACTATCAAAATTTCATTGATGTTCGATATCAGCGACCAAGGCCAAACCCGGGGACCGCCAAAAAAGTTATATGCTACTGCCCCGCCGAAAGGAGATAAAGAGTATGAGTTACATCCACATCAACTGTTGCGACGAACTGACTTCAATTGCAGTAGCAAGCCACCAACCAATATCCGGAAGCCGTACGTATTAGCATGTTGCTGATGATTGCTTGGCGTAGTTGACAAGGCTTCCAGTACTGTTAATCCATCTCGGCCGCCTCCAGACCCCAAAAGATATCCAAATCAGCCGAATCTGGTAGCTCCAAGGACGTAGACCGTTTAACGTCTCCACCGTGTCTCATAGTACCAGAGTGTAGTGACTGTTGTCTCGGCGCGTACGTTCTACATCCTCAATTTCAATGCTCATCTTGTTTACGCTCATGAACACTAGATTGCTATCCAATAGAAAACTTATATAGTATCTTTTCTTTCTTTAGTTCTTTGGTAAAAGAATTTCGACTGGGGTTATTTTCTATGCTTTTCCAAAACCCTCTTTCAAATAATCGAGTTTCGTCGGACAATGCTTATAGTTCATTAAATGTTAGACTTCATTTCACCGAATACATACTTATAGTGACGCCTCGTGCGGGAGCGTGTGGGATGGTACAGCATACAATGAGATAGCAGCGCGTGGAAATGATGGACCAGTGCGAAATACGTTATAACCAAGCGCGCGGGTCCATTCAGATATATGCTGTATAGGATGCATTTCCAAAGTCCGCTGTAAGCAGGCTTCTACATCGCTCCCTGCTTGATGCTGTAAAAGAGTGCGACGTCCTCTGTGTTCATGAATGCATTTTCTCTAGAGGCGGTCGAACGATTCGCTCGAACTATACAGGAGGTAAGTTATAGCCGGATCAAGGGTCAGTCGTAATCGATTGCATTCTTATCGTCCTCGTCATCATCTACAGCGAACACCCTAGCGGCTGTTGCTAGATCTGTAACATCGAAGTGTTGAAGCAGAAGTCACAGCAATAGATCAATCAGCGCTTTAGCGCTCACAGTCAACTATGTACATAGATCCAGACTTCTGATATCTTATGAAAATTGTTTTGGATATGGTGTGTCGCGTACCTGCGATGTCTTTTCGGGCTGTGCCGAATCATGACGCGTCGACGCGTGACGTCTCAGATCAAATTCATGCTTTGATTTTGTTCTCTATCTTTGATATGTGCAGAGACCAAGGGCGATCATGTCACAGTGACCCTGAATTCCGGGTAGTAATTAGTCAGCGGTCTATTCCGGATACGTGGTGTAATAATAGAACACTTATCCATTGTACACAGGGACTTGAATACTTACAGCTTTGATTCCATGTGGACAGGTACTGCATTCAATGGAAAAGATGGACAGCTATCATTTTCTGCTGTGAATCCAGTGATGCTCCTGTGGCGGTGGCAGATAGGAACCGAATGACGGTAGTGTGAGACTGGGCGTTTATTTCACATTTCGCATATATATACTCCGATTCCTAGACGCCTTACTGACCACCTAGCCTCAGACATGCTCAGAAAACTTGCCAGTCTCTTATGCGGAGGACGGTATGCCATCTCAATGGTTGCACTAAATTTCATTGATGTTCGATATCAGCGACCAAGGTCAAACCAGGGGACCACAAACTAACCTATACGGTACTAACTCGAAGAAAAATGATAAAGAGTGCGAGATATATCCCTGCCAACTGTTGCGACAAACTGACTTCAATTGAAGTAATACGGTACCAAGCAATGTCCGGAGGCCGTACGTATTGGCATGTTGCTGATGATTGCTTGGTGTCGTTGACAAGGCTTCCAGTGCTGGTAATACCAATCCGACTCGGCCGCCTCCAGACCCCAGTAAATATCAAAATACGTCGAATGGTCAAGTAGCCCCCAGGAGGTAGTTCGTTTAACCTCTCCACTCTGTCTCGTACCAGAGTGTTAGTGACTATTGGCTCAGCGGGTACGTTACTCCTTGATCTTCGATGATCATCTTGTTTACGCTGATGAACACTTCAATAGAAAGCCACTACAGTTATTTCTTCTTTCTTTGATCGATGATCCTTTGTGTAGAACATTTTCAAGTACTTCAGATGTATATATTTTCCAAAATCCTCCTGTAAATAATTGAGTTTCGGCGAACGACACTTGCAGTTCATTGAATGTTATATTTCATTTTACCGAGCACCGATCATCATGGAGCCTCGTGCAGGATGGTGCAGCATACGATGAAACAACAGCAACGTGTGGAAATGATAGATCGATGCGAAATACGTCATAACTAAGCGGTGTCCATTCAGGCATATGCTGTATAGGTTGCATTTCGAAAGTCCGCCTGTAAGCCTCGCTCCCTGGTTGAACGTTAACGTTGAACGCCGAGGAAAAAGTGTGTTGGCTTCAGTGCTGGAGGCATTGCTGTAGTGGCGGGCCGACATATAGTCCATATTACTCTGCTCTCACTGTACACATGCGGAACGACATGGTGCGGTAACGTTAAAAGTCGCTTTTGTCACACCGATAGCTTGTCTGCGGTGCGAAGATGGCTTTGTACTGTCGACGTGCATCGGCAGCTTTTCCCTCGATAAAGTCGAATTTTCGTGTGCCTCAGCCCTGATCGAGGGAGAATATGGTTGGAGAGTGGCCATGTGATCAGGGTCCAGTGATACATGCGATAAAGATGAGTTGTAATGGGGCCTGGGAAGTACGGTGATCGCTGTCGAACCAGGTTGTAATGCATTATTCTGTGACAGCACTGACTGAATGGTGTGGCTTGTAGTGATCGATCTTCTTCTCCATTATACGAGCCGCATTCTATCATTAGAGGAGGGAAGGCAGTTGTTCCTTCTATGCTATGCCTTGTCCAACCTGCTGCTAGAGATTACAAGATAGCCGAGTTGCCGATTCCCGTCTTCAGCTCAGGGACAATATCTTCCCCGATGCCACCCAGTACAAAAGCTTTCAAGTTTCCCAATGCTTGCAGTTCTCTTGTCCTCCATGACTCTGCTGATTCTCCCCCAATATGAGGCAGAAGCGTACATTGCGGGAAGGTCAACAAACGCGGATCTACGCGCGGTTCGTCGGGGTATACATCCAGGCCGACTGATGAAAGCTGAAAGTTGTGAGCAAAGACGACAAGACGATAGAAGAAGTGTTACATGACCGTCCTCCAGTGCTCGTATCATCGCCTCTTGGTCCACTATTCGTCCTCGTGACGTATTGAGAAGCACGCTTCCCCGTCGCAGTGTCCTGATCTCCTTCTCTCCAATCATACCAGCTGTGGATTGGTTGAGAGGGACATGTAGGCTGAGTACGTCAGCCTGCTTGCAGAGCTCCTCCACGCTTGAGACGTATTCGCACCAGTCTGGTACGGATTCTGCCTTCCTTCGTGAGAAGTATACGATGCGCATCGGAAAGGCGTGCGCAAGGTGAGCGAATCTCAGACCGATGCCACCCAAGCCCAAGATACCAAGCGTGCGCCCAGTAACGTCGTGAGTTTGCGCTGCATCACAGGGCGTCTTCCATGTACCAGAGCGAAGGGAACGTTCTGCCATCGAGAAGTGCCGCAGGCACGATATCATAAGGTATAAAGTGGTAGTAGCAGTAGCATCCTCGTTCGCTCTCGGAGTATTCGACACCAATATTCCTGGGGCAAATGCACATTAGCGATAGATGATTCTGACTGAGCGTAGACATTACCTCGTTCTTTGCAGGCTTGCACGTCGATTTCATCGTAACCACTGCCATTCTGAGCGATCCAGCGGACCTTGCTCGTATCGGCTAGAGCGTGGATTAATGGTGCGTCAAATTTCCCTATGACTTTAGAAGATGTGTTGCGTCTGTACAAGGCGACAGTCCCTTCATACGGCCCATCGGGCTCGAATGAGGAGAGGAAATGAGAACGAGATTCTGAAACCAGATGCTAAAAAGGAACAGGGATGATGACGTATAAAGCTAGAGGTGCATTGAAGGGGAAGCTTACTACAACTTCGGCGATGCCATGAAACATCTCCTTGAACTCGTCTTGGACATACTCAATCTCACCTGAAACACATTAAGGTCCAGATGATCATCGGATAAACCAGAAACTGACCACACAATAACACGCAGGGGAGCATTTCAGGTTATGCTGCTTATCGCAAGCCCTGTGGCGGGGACAAGACTCAGAAAGCTGTTATCTTTCGTTAATCTAACACGTGCTGAGGACTCGGACATGAGACTAAAATAACTAATCGACATACCATGAGATCGCTCACATTCCACTCAAGCTTGAAGGCAAATAAATTTGGGTACAATCATCATAGGCATATCAGACTATCATTTTTAACGTCATTTCTGTCAGTAACGTTTCAACCTCGCTTGGTGCAAGCAGAAGACCGCCCGTTACTGACACGCCCACTAAAATCTACCCTCTACCATCTGTTGAACCAACGTCAGACATATGCATCAAAGGTATGCAAACACCAGCATGAAACTCGCCATAGCAGCAATTTTTGATACGCCTCTGATTTTCTTGCATTCCTCTTGAACATTGTATCCGTGGCTGGTGTTAAGCGTTCCAGAATCGTAGTGGCGCTTCAAGTACCTAAGAAAAAAGATGATGTGATGCTCAGATATCATCGTCCGTGAGCGGTGGAGATGAGCCTAAGAACAAACCGGAGGCAGACTTCCTCCTTGAAATCCTGGTATATCTTACGGTTACTCTTGCGCTGATACAAGTCCTAATATCAAGTTTTGTTGGCTGCGAGAGAAGAAGAATAGATACCTCAAGTTTTCGCGCTTCCTCCTCGTATGGGTGACTCTGGTGCACGAGGAAGTGATCCGCAAGGACATAAAACGACATGCCGGAGAGGTACATCTCGTAGAGACAAGCGGCCTTGTTCCCTCCATATCCAATAAAGCGTTCATCGCACCTGGAAAAGATTTTATTAGACAGAGCAAGATAGATTTTTGACTCGAATTTGGTTGGCACCATGGTGGCCCTTCCTTTCTGAAGATCACGTAAGGCTCGTATGCGGTGTGGTACTGCGTGACCTTGTAAACTTCACCAGGGGCGGCGGAATAGAATCGCGGATAATCGGTGCTGTTATGGCCAGGAACCCAGGTGCGATGGAACATATCGATCTTCTTCGCCTTGACCAGCGAGAGTAATGTCTAAAACGGTATCATTCAGTAACTTTCTAGAATATGTCGCTCGTTATCTAGACCTGTTTATCGCGAGGGAAATATTTCTGGTCCAAACCATCTTGCTGTTTGACATATTCGAACGCAGGTACCACAAGAGCAGCATGTCCCTCCTTGAGAATTTGTCCAATCTTAACACCTAAACTAGCCCTGATGGCAGAACGGAAGTCGGTGCAAATGGCAAAGTCCACGTCAAGCATCATGACGAATTCGGTACGAGCAAAGAGACGTGCAGCATTTCGCCAAGTATTCAATTGACGGTCGAAGGGCGTGAGAACGAGGTGTATGTCGACGTAGGTTGACATCGCGGGCGTTGACGCATACAGGTCATGCAAAGCATCCAGAAGGGCGTGTGTTGCACTAGGTTTGACGTGGACGGTTGCAGAAATCGGACCTTGAGCCAAAAAAAATTGAGGAGAGACTGAACCCACAAACGATTTTAAGACAGGGGCAGACCTTGGTAGTATGTCACAAGCTCGGAAAAGACCTTGAATCGATTGAGTGTGACGAGGGTGGTAATGGTAATATCGTTCTGTTCGAAGGCCCCTGAAGCCCTGTAATAGTAAGGGACCACTTTGAGAGGGTGCATAGACTGCGAGAACGCCTTGTACAGGAAAAGATCTTCGCTCATTGGAATCCCGTCTGTTGCCCTAGCCGCAGTTGTATGTTCGAACAATAACGAGGATGCAGGCCAAAGTAACATTTCCTGAGACGTTATGCCAGCGACCTCAGTATCTTGATGAACTTGGACAGCGGCTATATCGTAGGAGGCCATGTACAACCTCGTAAATGTTCGTAGTGGAGACAGAATATGATTTGTTGTATAGAGGACCGCGATCACAACATACAAAGAAGCTGCAAGACGGATGAATCTGACGCCGCGACTGATATCTGACATGTGCCCAGCAGTGGAATATAAGTGTTGCTAGTCTCCGAATCCCTTGCGTCCAGATTGCACGATAAATATTGCAACTCGGAGAGTCGATGTCGATGGCGAATCTGGTCACAGTGACCGCCTACTACTACTTAAGTAGTAGGTTACGGTTCGAATTGCCGATTTGCCGCCACTTATTTAGAAGTCCGATCGATGTTTGTTCTCGTGGTGCGACTATTTTTTTTATGTACCGCATGGAGGCTCGTGCTCGTTGCGGACGATGGCGAGTTCAAATATTTGATCAAAAGCCATGTTTTTTTTTTTGCATAAGCAACGATCTTCTCATTCAATTTCATCAAGGCAACTCTGGCATCGAGATTATGAATATTTTTCTTTAGCTTCGAGTGCGAGACACGAAAATTACTGAATCAGCAACGACGCCAGGCCCGCGCTCCTGGAACTCAAACGGACAAGGTGCACACTGCAGACTCTTCGCGGCTCCCTCTGCAAATGCGACTTCCAATGCATTATTCAGCGCTGCTTCTGTACTACCGTACAGCTCGACCTTCTTTGAACTCTGTGCGAAGCTCCCAAAGTGATTCTTCGAGTTTCCCGGAAGGATGCTGTCTGGGATGTTAGCGTGCACAGTTTGCAGGTGCTTAATCCGTGGATCATCATGGACAACTGCTCTGAAGAAACCCATGGGTGGTTCAAGTTCAGTATAGATGGTAGTGTGTTTGTGTTCAATGGGGGCCAAGGGGGCTTAAATTATTCTGCCTTTTAGATTTTTCAGGATTTTCGGCAGTCGAATGGCTCTGGGACCGGTAGTAAGTTTCTATGTTATTGTTATTTTCATATCTCCGCTAATCCATCCTTTCTCGAGCAACATTTATTTTGAGAATCAACATAGCCCACTCCAACATGCTGGCAGTCAGTTACTCAGTGCTAGCGAGAGCGTTTTTGGTATGCGATGCTAAGAGTGGAATAGTCGTCGGCGACTCGTCGCAAGTCCTTCAGTTCGTCTCACACCGACATTGTGGATGAATTGGATGATTCCGCTGACGGCGACATCCGAGTCCTAGGCAGTGGGTCATGGAACCGTACAATCATATTATGGGACACTAGCACCAGAGGAAAGGCGATCATCTCTCGTGTGCGGCTCAAATCCATTGCGTCCGAATTTCTCCAACTGGTCAACTCGGGGTCAATGCTACTGATAAATATATCCAAATATGGGACCAAACGGTCCCCAAGTGCCTTGCCCGTTTAAATGGCCAGTGGCCACGCCGATTTTCAGCTTGATTGGATAAGAGCCAAGAAGGAACGGCTACCTTCTATATGGTCTGATTAGGGGAGACTATAGTTGAATGGAACTCATCGCTCGTATCATGATGGACCCCCGAATCGACAATGCCTATCTCTGCCCACTCCTCGGCAGGTATCAGCACGTCTTCTGCTCTTGGGATATCTCCACTTAGAAACAGGCTGACGATGTCTAGACCGATATCACGAATTTATATTGAACCCAGTTTGCACCCTGCTAGCATTGGTATCTAGGGACCACACTGTTTGTGTGGAAGGCACAAAAGCTGCTCGATATTAGCCATTCGATGTGGTGGCATTCTCGCGCGACGGACGTTCTACAATGCAATTATTCTATCAGGACCGTCGCAGAGATAATCTCGCATTGGGTGATACAAGAGCAGATTCTCAGGCAGAGATGAAAGGCTGATTCTTTATGAGGCAAACCTAAACTGCGTTTTTAATTTTCATATCATGTGGATTCTAACATCAAGAACTCACTAGGTGAATTGATGCACGTGATTTCTTATATTACTGTTAATCGGATATTCCTGCTCAGCTCCGCGATAAGTCAGTGAACTACGAGCAGATCGACAGATCCCGCCTCCAGGCCGCTCGCTTTAAACTGTCGCGCTCTGGTACAGAAAGCACTTCACAATTTCGCTTACTTAACGTCAGGGAACTTTTTCAATAACATTCAATCGTCATTCGAAAATAAGGGCAAAGGAAGGGACGGCCTTAATGTTAGTCATATTTGAATTTAATTCATGCGTAATTAACGTGGAAGATCCTAGCACGCCATCAAACGCTGGCCAACTATGAATGTACCGTAAATCATGACGATGGAGCTTTTGTATAGGACTCACTCGTATCAGTCGTTGAGCAGTTACCATGCATTTTGTCACAGCTGATTTATCGAACTCTTTATTTGTCGCTAGGTCTTAGTTCCATACCAGATATTGCACGCTGTATCGTGGCGTACCGTATCTTGAAGATATCAAAAACCCGACCTGAGAAGGTGACAATTGTTCAGGGAAGAGGCCGAGTGGACCTGCTAAACTGTATAAAAGCCCTCTTGGTTTTTCAGTGGTGCATCGACGAAATAGTCACTTCTCTTACTATCCCTGAACATGCAACTCTCTGCACGCTTTATTGCGCTTATACCTCTCGCCATCCTTGCTGTGGCGTCACCCACGCCAGCGAGACTTTATTGTGAGTATTCATGATCATCAGAATTATCATATCCACTCAGATGCTACAATGTATCACTCAGCCAAGCGAGGGACCCTCGAGACCAATCTCGTTGGATATGTTGACTACACCGGAGACGTTCCAGGTAGCGGTCCTGAAGGTGGGACACACTCATCTGCCATCTATTCGTTTATAGATTAACCCTTTTGCAGCAAAGAAGCGCGAGGAGCTTGAGACCAACCTCGTGGGATATGTTGACTACGGAGGCAGCGGTATCGGGAAGCGCGAGGAGCTTGAGACCAACCTCGTGGGATATGTTGACTACGGAGGCAGCGGTATCGGGAAGCGCGATGAGCTTGAGACTAACCTCGTGGGATATGTTGACTACGGAGGCAGTGGTATCGAGAAGCGCGAGGAGCTTGAGACTAACCTCGTGGGATATGTTGACTACGGAGGCAGCGGAATCGAGAAGCGCGAGCCCGAGTCAGAATACGCCAAGAGGGGGGAGGGGGACGACGGTGATTACGCAGTTGCTGCCTAGATGTGACGGCTGGCATGACCGTCTTGTAAGTTTCAGTGTTTTCCGTTGAAATTATCACAGGCACTCTACTCAGTATTTAAATATTTAATGCTTACTCATTGTAAAGTCTCCTTAGAATTTTCCCAAATCTACCTACTGAGCTGGTATTTGGCTACTTGCGCGAGGTACACTACTTTGTGCTGCTATCTTAAGTCCACTAGACCTCAACCTGCCGTCACCTCTTCCCTTTGCACAGCCTTTCCTTCTCTTTTAAATGTCCTCTTTGTCACCTTGTCAACTAGTCAGCCTACCATGTTACTCGACAGTGATACACCTAAACCCCATGATGACCAACCCCTCATTACAACTTGTGTTCGCGCGTGAAAATCACTGCAAAAAGTCACCACTTCATATGAGCACTGAGAACCTGCTAGAAATCAAAGCCTTTCTCATTTCTAATTGAGGTGAGACAAGCAGGCGATTTCTTAGTGAAGGAGTGGCTGTCTCTAGGTCTTGAGGATAGAGTCGGTACTGATGCTATGTTTCCCTCCTTGGTGGAGAGCCACAACAAGAATAATCTACAACTGCAGGAACGACTTAATTTGAACAAGGCTGGTGACCCACATGAGAACTTGACATAGCTCGATGAAGAACATGACTTTTAAGATACACTTTGGATCGATCTATGCGGTAATCCACTACCAGTGCACTCAAGGATTGGTGCTAAAAAGCAATGACCGAGCGAGAACGTACCTGTCATGACGCTTTGCTACCAGACATACCAACGACGTATGTCGCAAGCGTTCAAGCTGTTAGAAAAATGCTGCCGCGCTGCCAATTTATTTAGTTTGAACTTTGCCAGGCGAGATACCACGGCCAGAACCTGTCAAGAATCAGTGGGAAGACGAATATCTGAGGACAGGGGATCATCAGGACAAAGAAAGAACTTCTGATAGGCGGCTGCTTGCTCCGGATTACTGTAACAGTGTAACCAATGCAGCGTGTTGAGCGTAAGAGAATACGTGATATGCTGCAGGACGGCTCTATGATCGTTATATAGGGCTCATGGTATTCAACCTAAAGCTATATATAGTACATACTCTCGGTGCGCGGGAACTTCGAAGCGTTCGTTTTCTCACGGTTGCTCACTTCAAGCTTCTTAATGCCACCCGGGACGAATGAAAGTCCCACTCACAAATTCTTGTTGATCAGACTGATAGACGGGCTGGTCATCAGTCTATGATCTAAATAATGTTCATTGAATGGTGTGGCTTGCAGTGATCAACCTCCTCCTCCATTATATATACGAAGGCAGCTGTTACTTCTATGCTCTGCGTTGTCCAACCTACTAGGTAGTCGAGTTGCCGATCTCCGTCTCCAGCTCAGAGACAACATCTTCCCCAACGCCACCCAGTACAAAAGCTCTCAGGTTTCTCAATGCTTGCAGTTCTCTTATCCTGTCTGACTCTGCTGAGTCTCCCCCAACATGCGGCAAAAGCGCACATTGTGGGAAGGTCAATAAGCGCGGATCTACGTGCGGTTCGTCGGGGTATACATCCAGGCCGACAGATGAAAGCTGCAAGTTGTGAGCAAAGACGACAAAACGATAGAAGAAGTGTTACATGACCGTCCTCCAGTGCTCGTATCATCGCCTCTTGGTCCACTATTCGTCCTCGTGACGTATTGAGAAGCACGCTTCCCCGTCGTAGGGTCCTGATCTCCTTCTCTCCAATCATACCAGCTGTGGATTGGTTGAGAGGGACATGTAGGCTCAGTACGTCAGCCTGCTTGCACAGCTCCTCTACGCTTGAGACATATTCGCACCAGTCTGGTACGGATTCTGCCTTCCTTCGTGAGAAGTATACGATGCGCATCGGAAAGGCGTGCGCAAGGCGAGCGAATCTCAGACCAATGCGACCTAAGCCAAAGATACCAAGCGTGCGCCCAGTAACGTCATGAGTTTGTGCTGAATTACAGGGTGTCTTCCATGTACCAGAGCGAAGGGAGCGTTCTGCCATCGAGAAATGTCGTAGGCACGATAGCATAAGGTATAAAGTGGCAGTGGCAGTGGCATCCTCATTCGCTCCTGGAGTATTCGACACCATTATTCCTGGGCAAACACACGTTAGTAACACTTGGTTCTAATCGAAAGCGGACATTACCTCGTTCTTTGCAGGCTTGCACGTCGATTGCATCGTAACCACTGCTACTCTGAGCGATCCAGCGGACCATGCTCGTATCGGCTAGAGCGTGGATTAATGGTGCGTCAAATTTTCCTATAAATTCAGAAGATTCGTCGAGCCTGTACAAGGCGACAGTCCCTTCATATGGCCCATCGGGCCCGAATGAGGAGAGGAAATGAGAACGAGATTCCGAAACCAGATGCTAAAGAGGAAAAGGGATGATGACATATAAAGCTAGAGGTGGATTGAAAGGGAAGCTAACTCACTATGACTTCGGCGATGCCATGAAACATCTCCTTCAACTCGTCCTGGACACACTCAATCTCACCTGAAACACATGAGGCCCCGAATGATCATCGGATCAATCTAGACACTGACCACACAATAACACGCGGGGGAGCATTTCAGGTTATGCTGCTTATCGCAAGCCTTGTGGCGGAGGACAAGACTCAGGAAGCTGTTATCTTTCGTTAATCCAACACGTGCTGAGGACATGAGACTAAAATAACCAATGGACATACCACGAGGTCGCTCATATTCCACTCGCATAATCAAAAGCTTGAAGGTAAACAAATTTGGGCAAAATCGTCACAGGCACATCAGACTATCACTTTTAACGTCATTTCTGTCAGTAACAATTCAACCTCGTTTGGTACAAGCAGAAGACCGCCCGTTACTAACATTCCTACTAAAATCTACTCTCCGTCATCTGTCGAAGACACATAGATCGAAGGTATGCAAACACCAGCATGAAACTTGCCAGAGCAGCACGTAAGGCTCGTATGCGGGGTGGTACTGCGTGACACTTCACCAGGGGTGGCGGAAGGGATTCGCGGATAATCGGCCCCGTTATGACCAGGAACCTGGCAAATGCGGTGAAACATATCGATCTTCTTCGCCTTGACCAGCGAAAACAATGTCTAAAAACGATACATTCAGTGACTTCCTGGAATATGTCGCTCAAAGTCCACGTCAAGCATCATGACGAGTTCGGTACGAGTAAAGAGACGTGCAGCATTTCGCCAAATATTCAATTGACGGTCCTTGAAGGGTGTGAGAACGAGGTGTATGTTGATTGACGCATACAGGTCATACAAATCATCCAGAAGGGCGTATGTTGCACTAGGTTTGACATGCGCGGTTGCAGAAATCAGACCTTTGACAAACAATTTGAGAAACGATTGAACACAAACTATCTCAGTTGTATGTTCGGATGGATAACAACGAGGATGCAGGCCAAAGTAATATTTCTTGATGCGTTTTGCCAGCGACCTTGGCATCTTGATGGACTTGGATAGCGGCTGTATCGTAGGCCAAGCTCGCAAATGTCTGTAGTGATCTGTTGTATAGAGGACCGCGATCGCAACATACAAAGAAGCTGCCAGGCGGATAAACCTGAGGTCACGATCAAAATCTGACATGTGGCAAGCAGTGGAATATAATTGTTGTTAGTCTCTGAGTCCCTTACGTGCAGATTGCAAGGAGAGTCATGATGGCGAGTCTGGCCGCAGCTTACCCAAGCATGGCGTGTTTATACAACGTTACCTTCGTCCACGCCTAAATCGTTAATCAAACAATGACAGATGCATCAGTCTCGACTTGCTTCAGGTCACTTACTTCCTTGTTACTCAAACCTCCGTGAGCTATGTTATAATTGCCTTGTTAACGTTACAGCTCATGTGCTCCGTCGTGCCCTGCGGTGATAGCGCAACTATCGAAGTCCTCCCTGGTGATGCCTCCATCTGGATTCCAGACGTTGAAGAACGATCTCGTTCTCCTTTTCTATTCACGGAGAATAATCTCGGTGTACCTGAGAAAGAACTTCGTCGGTCATACCTCTTCGCCGTGCCTGTCTTCTCTGCTGCCCGTAAGGCCTCCGGATTTCATACACTCGAGGATCCATCCAACCACACCATGTCTTCGGCGATTCAGGACTTGATCGATTCTTCTGCTGTCCTCATTTTGATGAATCCGGCTCACCAAACTGCGCTTAATGCTAGAAAGCAACTTGTTGCGCAGAACCTTATCAATGTGGGGGAGGAACTCAAGTTCACAGCCGCCCTACTTTCGAGCAGGCACTGTTGCAAACAGGGCGAGCTGTGGTATCACAGGCGATGGCTCCTCAGACGCATATACCCAGTCCCAAGCTTTCCTCAAGGGTTGATTACTGACATGATTCTTGATTCACCAAATTTCTACCTTCCCCCGAATGACCTTTCTGCGGAAATTCATCTTGTCAGTAGAGCTTGCGAGCTCTATCCCCGTAACTATTTTGGCTGGATCCATCGCACTATATGCATTCTATCTACCCTCGTACCTGGAGTGCATTCTACCACCTCAGACGTGTTCACTGAAATCTTTCAGAAAGAAATCAGCAGCGTCATGCAGTGGATTGAGTCTCACATCTCCGACTACAGTGCTGTCCATCACCTTAGAACTCTCGCACGTCTCACTGAAGACGCGGAAAGCCCATTTCTGCCAGGCAGTCTACTTCTCGTGTTCGGACATGCTCTCACGCTCGTACGCGCATTTCCGGAGCATGAAACGCTTTGGCAGTATCTCCGCATGTTCTGGGATGAGGGGGATGTCGCTGCAGCGTTCGTCGCGTCATTTGCACTCCCCCTACAAAGAGCTAGGATGACGGAGCAGGAGAGCGAGTCTCCTAGTGGCGTGCAACATGCCTGCCGCTTCCTTGAGTGGAGGAATCAGAGGTTGAAGTGACGCAATTACTTGTATTGCGCAGCGTGTACTGTATATGCTGCCGATATCAGCTCATGGGATGGGGCGCTGAGTCAACTCTACGGGCTATTGTGATTTCGGTTGAACACATTGAGACGCACGTTTAGATAAACTAGCACACACCCGTTCTGCCTTCGGCACAGGAAGCAAAGTATCAAAGTCCTTACGTGCAGATTGCGCAATATTGCAATGAGAGTCTAGCTATGGCAAGTCTGGCCTACTAAGTACTAGTAGGGTCCTGCAGCTTACCCAAGCGAGAAGTGACAACGTCACGTGATGCGTGTCGCTTCAAGTTGTAAAATTTTGTCGTCTTTTCTTCAAACGCACTCAAGTCAAATTGCAGACCAGGCTTATCGATCACGCTGGTCTGCGCCAAAGCAGGGCGGACACGAACGCTTGCACATCTTAGTGCTTTTGCTTTTTTCTCCCGCTTTCTCTAGGAGTTGAAAGCAGGCCGGTGGTTCATACAAACATCTCTTCATAATACCGTCCGTTAGCAGTGTATGTATCTAACTGGATAATAACATTAATGGCCGCGGAACTGCTGTGCTCACTGATTTTCATGTAATCTAACATGCCATCGGTGGATTACTTTGCCAGACTTTCGAGTACGATCAAGACAATTTTCCATCAACAGTTGGTTGAACACTCCAATGACACACTCAAGTCACTTGTAATATTCCAGCAATTTCCTCGCATAACCAGGCCGGCGCCAGACCTCAGGCCTCATTGGCGAGTGCCAGCATGACTTTTCGGTCTTGATCGATATTATTTGTCTGCAGACGGGACTCGTCGACTGGCCGGCTAAACGTTAAAAAAGTCCTTGATGTCATGATGGCGTCTGTCTGAACCCTCCCTTCTCCGTTTGACGTAGTTCATCAGAACATCGAAACAATCAGACAAGAAACCCGACGAAGAAGTGTGATGAGGGACGAGAACACGCACACCAGGATATCGATTTCAAGTATGATCTTAGTCTTCAGCCACTGCTCCGAAATTTACAACGGATAAACAGAGACGAACGGAGCTGCGAGCATAGGCAATAGACTCGCTGCTGCCATCAAGCACTCGCGTAGCGAAGAATCAACATTCCTCCTCGCAGACTTTAACATCAATCCTCTTGGACCAGCCACTTCTCATGGGAATGAGCCCTCCAAAGAAGCCAAGGGAGATGCAGAACCGAGGAAGAGGAATTATTGAGGCAGAAGGGGAAGGCGTGATCTGTGACGATCATGTTCAAAACTCATCTTATTGAGCGCGCTGTACTGCTATGTTCAAGACTGGAATCTGCAGTTTGAGTAAGCATTTGGGAAAAGATAAATCGCTGCAGACGAGAATTGAATATACCCACGGAGGACCACATGTACAATCCCTGTCTAATGTCATTCCTCTGTGTTCTCCTCTTCCTCTCCTTCATCGTTGACTTCAGTCTTTACAGACTTTTCTTTTCCAAGCTCTGCATTTCCTACCGCATCCCTCCAAGCAGTCAACTCTTCTCCGAGTTTTGTGCGAGCTTCTGCAATCGACGTTTGCAGAGATGTGTAATATTTCTTCAGCTCCGAGTCAGTGTCATCCTGGGACTCCAAGTCAGGCAGAGGTATGATAGGGAACCTATGAGTTGTCTCCTGCGAGAGGGACGAGGGAGCTACCGTAGATGGCGGTGGGACAATTTTATAATTCACGGTGAGTTCCCTGGAACGAACATCCATCTGAATATATATATGTGGCTTGTTGTAAGGTCGACGACTCGAATGCAACAACCCAATTGTTGTCTTAGTAAGATCTTATCTGATCTCCCATGATCATCAAAACTTGCCCAAACAACGTGTTGCAGAAGTTGCTCTCTTTCTTTCTACTCGATGTCTCTCACCATGCTGTTCCCAATGCTCCTCGTTCAATAGCAGCGCAGGCTCTAGCTTATAAAGAGCCTGCGTTGTTTTTAGAGACTAACATCGTTTTTTCATAGACACATAGAAGTTTTACGCCATCGGAACCATCTTCTCTGGGATCATAGAACGACTCGGATATAGATCTCATTGTGCACATAGACTCGGTGCACCAATATCCCTACTAGACTGTCTATCAAGGTTTTGTTAATCGGGTGATTTCGTTATAATCGACATCCTATCCAACGTATACTATACATATACCCTATCCAGACGAACAAATCATGACCTACTCCCGCGCTCCAACTTCCTTTCTTCCACCACTCTCTATACTTTCCACCCACACCACCGCCTCTATACAAGATGCCCTGCAAGACTTGAAGGATCTTTACTTCGCCGCAGTACTTCCTCCGAAGAGGACGCTGCCAATAAATGTTGTACCTGCACTGAAGCAGGACATATCTGATACGGTACACGTACCTCGCCCAAAGCGGACGGGACGCTTGAATCATAGCGATGGCGCCCCGGATTCCGGTTATGCCTCTGAAGATGACGAGGCGGAAATGGAAGGAGATTTGGAAAGCGACGCTGAAGACTTGGACCTTGATGTCCTGCGTTCCAACGAGCTTGAACGAAAATTTTCTATCAAATGGCTTACAGGCCTCATAAAGCGATCCGATATATGGACGCATGTACTCGATATCGCTCCAGAAGAAGACCACATACGTCTAGTCGTTATAGAGGAAGCAAGCAAGCTTCTTGCACGTTTTTCCAGTGATGATGAGCAGCAAGAAGATGCTCTCACGCGACAATTTATATTTCCTTTTGGTGCTGGAGGCGAGCCCATCATGATCGAGCTGAATGATGCTCCACTCACAGCCACGGATCATACTTCCGTTGGTCTGCAAAGTTGGGCAAGCGCCATCATTTTCGCTGAACGCATCTGTACGAATCCTGCTCAGTATATGAGCATCCCACAAGGGGTTACTCCCTTGCGCGTTCTTGAACTAGGTGCAGGCACGGGACTTCTCAGCATCACTACCGCACGACTTCTCGATCGCATGGGAGTCGATGCCACAATCATGGCAACAGACTATCACTCTGCGGTCCTCGATAACTTACTGCAGAATGTGAAGACCAATAATGTCTCCGTTCAAATCGAGTCACTGGACTGGTCCAAACCACCTCCACTCGAACTCTACGATGTTATCCTTGGTGCAGACGTGGTGTATCACCCTGAGCATGCCAAGTGGATCAAAAATTGCGTGGAGAAAGCGTTAAAGAAGGGAGGGGTGTTTTGGTTGATTATCGCAATGCGTTCGTCGGGGAGGCATGAAGGCTTGTGGGAAACTGTGGATGATGCATTTCCAGACGGGGGATGTGGCTTTCCGAGAAATGAAGGATGTGGTGGGGAAATGAAGCTGGCGGTGTTGCAAAAGGAGGATGTGGGGCGTCGCGAGGGAATTGGTCGCGCGGATGAGGTTAGGTACAGGTTATTCGAGATACGTTGGCTCCCCTGTTGCTATTGCTGTTAACATTGCAGGGTGAAACATCTACATTTGCACGTACCACTATTGAAGTACGAGATCATACGCCATTCAAATGACCCTTGCTCATCGTCACGGTAGGCCTTTAAGGTGCCGTCCACAACAGGGACGAATACAAATGTGCCAAAAAAGCCGCTGACGTCGACGTTGCAGCTCAAGTTCTGCAGCGCAAGTCACTGACGTCTATGGTGTGCCAACAAGAAAAAGTATCCAAACTTGAAGTACAGCTGAGTTTATTCCGAGTCTTGAACCTGGTGAGCTGTAGCTCCACCGTGCCAGGCTCCTATCTTCAATATTATTGTTACTTCTTTCCGCTTCGCCTCATGTAACATTGGACCCTCCCCCACGTCCACAATTACAACACATACTTCCACCCCTGGTGGGTTTTACTGTAACAACGGTCTCCCTTGCCAATTGTACCACCGACTTGAAATCGTCATTGTCAACATTGCAATGCCCTGGCGGTGCCTACTACTCTACCGAGTCTGACTCTTTGTTGTGAGAATTGTACACAACCTTACTTACAGACATCTCTTATTGTAGTAAACGTCCGAAGGTGCTTGATAGTTGTTATTTGCGAGGCAGTTTTCCAATTTTATGATGAGCCCTCCTATTGGACTAATCATCAATGACAATGACTTCATCAGCTCCCACAATACTTCCACTTCCTCTAGAGCCTCTAGAAACACTCGGAACCAGACTACCACCGCCGCCTGTGCGCCGGCGTCTGGCTGCACGTTGCTCTGCTTCCACAAGATCGATGTCTACCTCATTGGGAGTGCCGCGTGGACGTTTGCGTGTGGGCGGTGGTTGCGATGACTCGTCATCGGAGTCAGAGATGTCAATCGTCTCGGCGAGAACATTCGACGAGCCAGAGCCATGCGCAGGTTGATTGGTTGAGGTACGGGATTTCCCCTTACGCGATCCAGAAGCCTGAGTTGTAGAAGTTGAGATCGTGGGCGTGGATGTAGATGTAGATGTGGGTGTAGGGACACGGGTAGAGGACGTAGATGTGGATGCAATGGGTGACGGTGCAGGCACAGATGCAGGTGATCGGGCATACAGCTCTGTCCACCTCCGGGCTGTGCGGTCGTGCTGCACGCGATTCCGGAGATATTCGGTTGCGATCGAGGGAACTGTGTGCACACAAAACGATCGTGGTTCAGAAAAATAGGACACGAGCCTTTGATAAGGGAGCTTACCGAGAGGATCTTCTAAGAACAAAGAACATCGGTCAGCCGAGATAGACATACAGGGTGAAGTATGTGAGTCCAAGACAAGTACAGAAGGTACAATGAAAGGATCGAGATTGAAAATAGTACTTACGCGGATTTGGGTCGGTAAGGAGGGATGAGAGTGAGAGCATGACCTTGAAGAGCGACAACGCAGGTGACCAGTTCTGTTTGAGAATATCAATGCATATGTTGCCCTTGTCCGATATATTCATGTGATATATCCGGGTTACAAAGGTGACCTTTGGCGCTGAGAAACTATCACAAAATGATTCGTGAAGCTTGAACACGCCGGTTTGGGTATGGAGGGTGCTCACGGATAGTCGTTCGCCAGCTGAATATTAATATTGTATACGCCGCCTTCATACGGACTCCCTTGGGGTCCAGGTATGGTACCTGTCCAGCGAAAGAGGTTGTCGGTGGAGGGTGCGAGGGTGATGGAGCCTAGGTCCTCCTTCTTGGCATCTGCGACTTCCCTATGAATGCGCTTTACAGTCATCTGTAATGCTATCAATACAATTAGATGCTTGATATCAGAGGTTGCGACGCACGGCAGTTGAGGGAGCTGGAGGCATGTTGCTTGTGGAAGAGTGAGCTGAAATGAGTACTAAATACCAGCTGCTTGCACCCGGTTCCAAACATATATATAGCCGCACCCGCGTGGGATGTCACCGCCTTGTCTTGCGTGAGACTTGCTGTGGGATGTAGCTCAGACAATTACCGGTACCCACCACCATTGTTGTTTAAGGCCACTGGTCCGGTCACAACTCTATGGGACTCTGAACAACTCAGAATTTATTGTGCAGAATATGCTGGACAGGAGTAAACCTCAATAACATGACATCTAATATCAGTTCGACGTAGTCGCAATCTTTTTAACGACATAAATTCTACAATTTCATGTACATCCTATTTTCCTCGTGCAGCCATAGAGGAGGACTTGGCAACGTCGATCACAAATTCGTTTTCATCCCGCTCGGAGCTCTGTGGTATCTCAGCCTCGCACACTCGAACAGATAAGATTTACAAACCTTGATGATCAAAATGTTTTCGTCATCGAAAGTGACATCTATCATGTTCGTGGCCGTCTCGATGCTATCCTCGTCCACAACCACCATGTAAGGAAGGCTTGTTACAATGTCTTCATTGAGTTGTCGGTGTTTGACTGTCGATGGTTCTGTAATAATGCTGCCACGAAAGTCTTTAGAAGCTGCAGCACGCGAAATGCGATACTTGTTGAAGTCGTACGTCCGCAGGCTATAAGATGTGCAGTCATCATCATTTGGGGTAACATGGACTGCTCTACCACCGGCGACGTCTAATCGCAGGACGAAAAGGTTGTTAGGCACGGGGTCTACAATGCATCGCGAACAGTTTGGACCCCATTCCTTCCAGGGCAAAACGCGGCTCTGACCCTCAGTATGTATGCCGCTTTGGCAGGCAGTGAGGAGTTTATCTGTATCGATTATAAAGACAAGGCTGGGTGGACCGTCAACATTGAGAGCGATGAGCTGATTTTCAGCGTCCGGATAGAAGCGTATGTCCTGAGAAGCCATAGAACGACGGATGTCCGGGCTGATAGTTACGAATGAAGAATGCCGTAGGAATGTTGCTTCTGGTTGAAAGGGTAGGACACACTCTGCTATGCGGACTGGGGGTTTCCCAAGGTCAGAAAATGAGAAGATGCTCAGTCTGCATGGTAGGCGGCCGCTCATTCTAGATGATACGATCAAGTGATCTCGGTTCACGATACAGCAGTCATCCATCTTGTCGTATGGTTCCTGTTCCCGATAGATACACTATAATCAGATGGTAAGTGCAATCGTTCAAATAAACGCGTACTGATCGTACCTTGAAGTCCTGTTTCTCTTGCCAGTTCCAGATCTGGATTCTCGCAGGACAGTGAGAATATTCATCGCAGAAGTTGAAGAGCACAATACGGTCTCCCCAGATTTTGAGCTTTATATTTGTCTCGTCAATGTGGCAGTTTGCTGAGATATGTGGCTTGAAGGAGGTCAGGATCTCACTGGCTGCCAAAGGATGCGGCTCGCTTGTGCTAAGGGTCTCTAAGTAAATCCGGCAAGAAATTTCTGCCATGTGGTTCGGCTCCAGGACCACAAACGCAAACAAATCTTGTGACGGATCCATGCAGACGCTGTGGACTCGGAAAGGAGTATCTTTTGGCATTGGGTAACTGGCTGCATTCCAACGCCTATATGACTGGGACTCTGAAGAGCCTGAATCCAGCGCACGAATTTGCGCGATCTGGGAATAATCATCCCAGGTAGATAGATGTCCGAACGACATGGATACCTCGCCACCTGGCTGTAGAAATTGATCTACGATGGTAGGTTTAAACGCTCGCCAGGAACACATTCGGTTTCTTAGTATCTCCAAGCGTTCGGCGGGGGATGTCATTGCGTCTGGCGCAGCAACCTCGACCATCTTTTGTGCTTCGAGTTCAATCGCATACTGCAGTGCAGAGGAGTCATCAAGGACTTTGCGAAGGTAGCGACACGTCTGTGGTATCAAGTACGATCAGTGAATCTATCTTTGATGTGAATCGATAAGACATACTGATGTACAGCTCAAGATCGATGGGGCGCGAAGGAAGGAGAACAAGTAACACAATATCTCCTCTGGGAGCGTGTGCAAACTCGATGCTGATTTTGTGAGAACCATGTCCTGTGAGAGTCCGAGAGTCGTACTGGCTGGACCGTCCTAAGCAAGAATATCATCCATCAATTGAACCATTAAATCAATTTACCCTGTTCGAACATAGACCAAGTCCCACGGGTTCAACGTGTTTCAGCTGTAGCACGGTTCTGCACGAAACTATTCCGTATGCAACATAGTGCTCCAGAAGATGCACACAGCACCATACGTTAAATTGAATCCTCTTCTTATGTCAAATAGAACACAGTTCAGAAGCACATACATAAGTTTTTTTCATTGAAGCGAAGCTGAATCGGTGCAAATAGAGACAAACTTACATATCACTTGAACACTTTGCCTCCCACGGTTTTGTCCTTTCACCCAAACCCCACCCCTCCTCTCCACATACAATGTCTCAACCAGGAGGCGACATACAAGAGCGGATCGCTGCCGCACGTCGTGAGGCGGAAGTTTTGAAGGAGAAAATTCGGGCGAGTAGGGAGGCCTCAGCTGACACAAGCTGTATGTTATTTTGTCGTTCTTGCTAATTCATCCTTTTTGGACCGGTCGGTGACATGCTCTACAGTACGGGCTATGGCTGCCGAGGTTGACACTCTGCCTCGAATCGTCATGCGACCTCGGCGTTCACTCAAGGGTCATCTCGCAAAAATCTATGCTATGCATTGGGCCGCTGATCGTCGACATCTCGTCTCCGCATCACAGGATGGAAAGCTTATTGTATGGGACGCCTACACGACCAACAAAGTTCATGCCATCCCTCTTCGCTCAAGTTGGGTCATGACCTGTGCTTATTCACCATCAGGGAACTTTGTAGCATGTGGTGGTCTTGATAATATCTGTTCTATCTATAACCTTAACAGCAGAGAAGCCAATGGCGTCAGAGGTGGGCGCGAATTGAGCGCTCATTCTGGTTATCTCAGTTGCTGTCGTTTCATCAACGACAGGCAAATCGTCACTAGCTCCGGTGATATGACTTGTATGCTTTGGGATATTGAAGCTGGTGTGAGAGTGGTTGAGTTCAGTGATCACACTGGGGATGTCATGAGGTATGGCTCTTGCTGTGCAATCACTCTATCGCTCGCTCATACCACGTTAGCTTATCTCTCGGTCCGAATCAGAATGTTTTCGTCTCTGGTGCTTGTGATGCGACCGCCAAGCTGTGGGACATCCGCAGTGGTCGTGCAACCCAGACGTTCACAGGTCATGAGTCAGATATCAACGCTGTCCAGTAGGTTGATGGTTTCTATGTAGTAACGCAGGGCACTCATTGTTGTTTAGATTCTTCCCAAATGGCGATGCATTTGCCACAGGATCGGACGATGCTTCATGCCGGCTTTTCGATATACGTGCGGATCGTGAATTGAACAGCTTTACGCACGACAACATTCTTTGTGGTATCACTTCCGTCGCATTCTCGATCTCTGGCCGCATTCTCTTCGGTGGCTATGACGATTGGACATGCAATGTGTGGGACACTCTACGAGGCGAGCGCGTGGGTGTTCTGACTGGACATGAAAACAGAGTCAGCTGTTTGGGTGTAAGTGTGGATGGGATGGCCCTTTGCACTGGTAGTTGGGATAGCACTCTCAGGGTACGTTTCATCATTTTTTCTGGGCGATGAGGATTTGACGAATTACTACAGGTTTGGGCATAATGGAAACTGTGGACTATCTCTTTCGTCATCTTGCTATATCCTCTATGCTCACCTGCGTGCGGCGCTTGCGACGTACGCCTTCGAGTCGGTCCTTACTCATCATTAGTTTCATGCTCGCTGGTATACATATATTGTCTCGTATCAGGTCATCTGCTGCTACCCAGATATTATTCCTTGATGTTTTTTTTTCTCCTCGACCGTATTTAGTGATGAATTCAAATCGTCATCCAAACTGGTGTCAGGTCGAACGTTTGTTGCTGCACTAGTCCGTGTTTGTTCGAGATGACGTATACTGACGTGATTGATCCAGCTGCAGCACTCAATTTGAGGATGGCTGCGAAGGCGCTCGGGCCACCTTATGGGCCATGGTTTGTGTCCTCGGATCTCCAGTTATTCTACAGACTCATGCATTGTCTCTCTGTAGCTCAGCAGAAGAGGGATGCGGCGATGGGTGACCGCGTTCAGCGTCGATGGCTTCCGATGCCCTACCGACTAATCTTGGACCGCCTCTTTCCGAGTCAGTCATCTACTATAACAGCTCTTTCTTGGCAGGAAGCCGTGGCCTCAGGGTATGTTCCCAAAGGGTACTCACTTCTATTCAAGACCGAAACAGCAGCCTACTGAGTTTGTTAGTTCACCAAGTCTCCTAAGAAGAAGGATTTAAAACAGGCACTCCAATATATCTTGCATGCCGGCTGGGTCTCATCGACTGTCGCAGGCACTATGGCTTACTGCAGGTGTTCACTTGGATGTAGCTGTCCAATCGAATTGAAGCGGTCATAGATCATAAAGCAAGCAACAATTCTGCAATTGAGGTCGCAGTGCGATGAGCACCAGCGATTTCACTGGAGCCATGCAAGGTTCAGAGTTATGATGTCACGGTGCATCATCGAGTCTGATGACTCCCTTGTTAAAACGACTGAAATATACATAGCGACACAGTCAAGGAACGGCATTCGAAGGAACTTGACCATCTCCGCCGCGAATGCTAACTTGAAACACAAATCAGAATATTCTTATTTTACATGACACGTCAATTTTGGCTTCTGTCGTTCGTCTCGAGGAGCTCGATTAGATCGGTGTGTTGACAATTCCAATACAAACTAATGAATTGTTTTTTTCCAAAGATGCGAGAAATCTCCAGACCACACGCGATAAATCAGTTTCTCGACAGATTTTTTCAGGCAGCCCAACGTCCGAGTCAGCAATGCTGGCGTTCGGGCAGCTAGAGGCACTCAGGATCGCACCGAGGAGCTTTAATTTAGGCGCTTTAAGCTGGAGCATATAGTCATGTACCTGTCCATCCTCTTGTGCTCAGGCGTATAGAGTCCAACGCGCTATGGATTGTGACATCCACTCGTTATCTTCGAAGTTCAGGCAAAGTTCAGGCAAGTCAGCATTTTGGAAGACCACCTCGAGCCTCGCACAGCAGCACTCCACGTCAAGAACAACCTCGTAACCGTTTCATGATGTGGGACTTTCAGTTAAGTAATCTTGCTTCATCATTTTCGCGCACTGTTCCGACTGTATTGCGAAACTCGACACAAGCGCATGTTTTAAGAGCCGGCATTATTGATACAGACAGTCGTGTGAGTGCTGAGCGCCACTTAAGATCGAAATGATCTTTGTGGGTGAAGTGGCAGTTTGGTTAAAGTTTCGGCGCTGTCTCGTGCAGCTTTGATTTGTATTGAAGGATGAAGAAGAAGCGGCGGTGAAGAAGAAGCCCCTCATGGCCCCAGCGGAGAAACGTTTTTTTTTAAATCCGGTCTGTAACATTAGGGCCTAGCCCTATGATGCTGTTGTATCATATTTGTTTACATAATCTATAGCAAGGAACCGCGGAAAAGTCCGGCGGAGAGCAACGGTGGCTAGTAAGTTATTGGCAGCTTGAGACGGGCACGTTGGACAAGGTATTGGTGCTTGCAGCTAGCACCAAACGACGCATCCTATCCTCTTCAGTCTCCTTCGGGGCGTCGCATCTTAAAACATTCGTTCTAGTCTTTTTGTGCAGGTAATACACTGAAAGCTTGAGCATTGTGCTCATTCGTTGGTTCAGCAGGTACTTGATATGGATATGATTGCATTCAATGGCGCGGTCCGACCTCGAAAAGTTTAGTCTCGTTGGCGTGTGAATGCGAGGCAATTACAGTACTAATTGGAAATGGTGCACTGCGCGTTGCATTATCATTTGACATCTGGCTGACGGCTCTTTCGAGATGCGGCGATGGACTCGGATGGAGATATTTGTTGAGAGCGACGTGTCCTGTGCGAAGTTGGAATATGGGTGAGCTGTGTTTTCTTGGTAATGGTTTTGTTCGCAAACTTCAGCCTTGGGCGAAGCTGATTGATCGAAGGAGTGGACCATCGTATAGCACAGGGACTTGCGCATGATGTCACAGGCTTCAAAGCATCAATGTTGAAAGTTGCAACATTGAACCTTGAAGCTTGAACTGTTAGTGACGCTACCTCAGTGCCGTTTTGCTTTGCGGTAGGTTCTGATACCTCTTTCGCTCGTTAGGAATGATGCAGTTAGGGCTCGCCTGTTCGATGACACTTTTTCTGCCGCTGCTTTCTTCGCCTCTACATCCGCTACTTCGTTTCCTGGTATGCCCTAATGCCCCGGAGTCCATCTGATTCTGTATTTCCTATCGTCTCGGTCTAGGAGCAGTCTTCCGAGGTCCCTGTGGAAATGATCTATCGGATAATGACCCGGCTGTGAGTGAAAGGCTGCCGTTGCGTGAATTGCAGCTTGGTTGTCAACACCCAGTGTCATGGTTCTTCTCCTGCCTGCTCCTTCTTCCCTCAAAGCTGTACCGCCAGTATCATTCCTACTACTTCCACGTCATACGAAACATTATCCCGTCATCAAACCGAGAAAATGGCACATTATGCGGTGAGCTTGCGGGATTATCTGGTTATTAACAGCCCACATTACGGAAGGCTCGGTACTATCTACGACCTGTTCGTGATGGACCCCATTGGTTTCACGCTTCCGTTATTATTTGGGACAGATGATCATATCCAAATTGTGAGCTGGGCCATCATAGATTGATCCCTACTAGTAACTAAGTCGTAGGGGATGTAATTACCCCATTATGCTCTCTTTATTATGGTAAGCGTTTCAGACTTCCCCGTCATGCTGTGCGCAGTTTGTCATGCCTTCACGTGTTTCTCCAAGCATGATGGTACTGCGATCGCCCAGGCTTTCCCCAAACTCGTGACACCTCGTGATTGGGTCGAGAACTACTTGGGTTTGACTTTGCTATGGTCCATATAAAGTACTCTCATTCTTAGCATATCTTTCTACTCATGATACATAATCCTCAGGCTTAGACATGTCATTTTCTCCTCTGTGTCCACGCTTGACGCTACTCCATTTTGTTAGGCTTACGCAGACTCGGACTGTGACTTGCTCATCAGTTCATGCTGGTGTCATTGGGAACCGGCACATGTCCCAGGGTATCACCCGGGACTCCGTGAGGGGAAAACCTGTTGATATTGAGGTATGAACAGTGATTTTTTTTTTTTCATTACAACTGTTCACGAAGCCCTCCCGACTCACTGTCACGAAAACAACGAGCCCGAAGGAGCTGCCTCCCTCTGAGGGCCTTATCTTCGGAGAGACATTCGTGAGTCATCTTGTCGTGTTGTTTGTGTGTTGTATTTCATCGTGATCCTAGTCAGATCATATGCTGAGAATCCCCTGGACTGACGCTACTGGCTGGGGGGCACCCAGCATTGTACCTTGTAAGATCCTTGGCTTTCTCAATATTTTTTACTAATATGATCTTTTGTGTGTGTCCTAGTCAGCACTATCAATCTGTGCCCTGGCACTACTATGCTTCATTATGCCCAATCTTTATTTGAGGGCATGAAAGCCTACAGGCACGCAGATGATACCGTGACCTTATTCCGGCCTGAAATGAACATGAAACGCATGAACACCAGCGCACAGCGGCTATTGCTTCCCGTACGCCTTATTGTGTGCCTTCTAAAAAGAGCGTAATTCACTTCTCGCAACAGACATTCAGCAGCGACTCGCTTATTGAATGTATCAAGGCATTAATCGCCGTTGACCGCAGATGGATACCTAAGGAGCCCGGGCACAGTCTTTACATCAGACCCACGTTGAGTGAGTATCATAATCCTTCCTGAGGACACAAATACTGAGGACAATGGCGGTACAGTTGCCACGAATAGCACGTTAGCTATTGCTCCCCCAAAAGAGGCACTACTGTTTGTGATCGCCTGCCCTGTAGGACCATACTACCCTCAAGGGTTCAAGCCTGTGCCATTATATGGCACTACGGAGTATACTCGTGCAGCGCCCGGAGGTTTGCATCGCGAATCGCTCCACCGCTCAATAATGTCATTTGCCTACAGGCATCGGTGCATATAAGCTTGCCGCGAACTACGGCCCCTGTATCATCGCACAAAAATGTGCAGCGAATTGGGGCTACACACAGAACTTGTGGTTACATGGTCCCGAGCACTGGCTCACGGAAGCGGGTATGATGAACTTGTTTGTTGTTATCAAGGACAGCGGTGGTGGTAAGCATTTACCTTGGCGGTGTTTCCATCGTATTGAATACATCATCATCGCAGTGACCGAGCTTATCACGCCTCCTCTCGACGGAATGATTCTCCCGGGTGTCACTCGCGATTCTGTGTTAGTGCTTGCGCGTAACCACGTTTCTGGTGTTAAGTGCCTCCGAGGTCTTCCTGACGCCATCAAGGTCTCGGAGCGTCCCATCAACATGGGCGAGATTATCCAATCCTCGAAAGAGGGTCGACTTGTTGAGTTATTCGGTACCGGCACGGCGGCTATTATCACTCCTGTCGAGAGAATTGGATACAACGGAGGTGATATCATGATACCAACGGGTGAAGACGGTATGGGTCCTGTCTCGAGGCCGCTTTGGACAGAGCTGGTGGGTATCCAGACGGGAGCTGTCAAAAGCGACTGGAACCACGTGGTATCGAAGTAGTGCGGACGTTGTTCATTCCGGGCGTGCTGCCTTAGTTAGAAGCCTAGAACCTATTAGACCTGATTCGTACGACCCATGTTAACTTCGTAAATTATCCCGTTAGGTGCAGTAACATTGTCTATATCGGTTCTCGTGCCTTAAACTTGCGCAGAAAGCAACATGGGTAAAGATGCTGAATTACTTTTTCCATAGTTATGGGATCCCGCCTAAGTTATACGCCTTGCATGCATGCACCCCATTTGTGGTCGCATGATTAGACTAACCTAACGCCAATACGGTGCAGGGATTATAGAGTTGTGCATTATGAAAGATCTACCTTTGCCAAGGGATGTGAGTGTCACAAACAAGGATTCTCTTTGACTCGATAACATGTACGCACATTTACTCGTCAACGTGTCTTCCTAGACACAGTTTGAACGAAGATATTTTGGCGGTACCATGATAATTCTACGATAATGAGATTACCCAAGCCCATCGATAATTGTCGCCACGGACCTTGAATCGAATCCATGATGTCATCAGAAGCTCTTGTACATTGTTCAGCTGCTGCTTCACAATGGGCAATGCCAAATCTCCAGCACTTACCTATGTTTTCCGGCCAATGGGTCCTTCGGAACTTGATTTTCCGGGTACCATCTACGACATAATTCCTGCAGGACATAAATAAGCTGACATTTGCCGTTTTTTTGTTAGATTTCACTTTTATTGATGACACATCTTCGGAAACATGCATTGGCCGCTGTCTTCATGATCACATAGATACTTGACTCACCAACAATCCTAATACGATGTCCAATCAAGTTTTGCATGCGTGAGGAGGATAGACTGCTTACCGGTAATGAAGCCAGTCGATAACTTCAGGCATTTCCTCCACCAAGAATGACCGGTCTGCATGAATCGAGTTTCCAGCTAGAACCGCAGTCCGTCTTTGCGGCACCCATTTCTTGATGTACTCCAAAACAGCTTTTGAAACATGTTCTCTTGTGTGAGGCGAGGTCATGCAGGCTTGCGTTAGACCAGACTGAATGATTATTTCGTTAACTGTCAAGTAAGCACTTAGTAATGCATTGAGGACGAGCCTTTCCATGTTGAATTCTGCACCACTCGTCCATACTGACCGTTCTCAGTATTCGAGGTTTGTTGTGTCACTATAGAAGGCTCACGAGTTCAAAACTGCCTCGTCAGTCCTGATAACGAACTGGATGCCTTGTTCATCGACAAGCTCCAGGTTACCATTTGTGATCAGTACCTGGACGTGAGGATAAATTTGGATCACTGCTAAATCACCTGTTTGAAGCACTCACTGCGATTTCCAAGATCTTATCCCTTCTAGGATCGAGTCCGGTCATTTCGCAGTCAATCCAGACCATGGGACCTGAGCTGAAATCGAGTGGCGTTTGGGACGACATTCTAAGCGAGCGGAATTGGAGGTATTGAAAAGAACTTTGTGAGAGACGGAGCCGCCGAAGTAGAGATAATCGATGCGTTACTAGAAGCATACAACAGCCTGTGAACAAGTCCTACCCAAAAAGGTCCGAAACTCCTTTTGCTCATATCCCCCCATTGTTCATTGCATGATATGTTAACCCAAAGTTTGCTCATGTGGGTCCATCATCGATTATCGATGGTTATCGCCGCCCGAACTCTCGGAAACCTTTGTATGTGAAAGGTCCCTTGAGCCTTAGTGTTGACTATTGCTAATAATGTCGACCGAGGACAATGGTAATCATTGATAGCCATATACAAAGCGCACTGATCATAGGCAACCTGTGTCATAGGATACAAAGGATCATTCAAAGTTTTCATGGTGTTATTTTTCGTTTTGGCATAATCGTTTCAAACAGCTGGTTCGAATATATGATTGGTCCATTCGATCAAACAAGGTAGCATCGTATCAGCGCCGCTGAGGGCCTATCTCCAGTGTTTACGGCTTCCTGCTGTGCGTTGTTCTCACTCTGGCGGCTGTGCCCACTAAGTACAACAAAAAGTACAAACCTATATATACGTCGTGCGGGTTGCTGTAGACTGTAGTCCACCCTATCGTGTCCCCTCCACTGCACTCCCAAAATGTCCTTCAATTTCGCAAACATCGCTGTGAATGACCTTACAGGAAGGATTACCAAGACGGAGCACATCGCCAATGGACAAACCGGAGAGGTATGGAAGGGCACCTACACAGTAGGAGATCGAGAAGACATTGTACGATTGGGTGATGGTTTTCAATTCATGATATATCTTACACATACACGCTGCAGGTAGCCGTGAAGGCCATGAGATCGACGTTATTTAAAAGAAGTGAAGATGCAGAAAAAACAATACGGGTAAAATCTCCCATCTCACAAGTGAAAATTTGTTATTCAGTCAGATATTTCCAGAGGCTCTCGCGAGAAATGAAAGTGTGGAGTACATGCGTTCATCCTCACTTGGCCTTGTTTATTGGTATATGTTACGAGACTATCCAAGGATATCGAGTCCCCTGTTTGATATCTCCATTCTACAAGAACGGAACCATCATGCAGTACCTAGAACACAATTCAAATGCTGTGCCGATGGACTTGGTACACTTTTCACTTTGCTGATTTTTATCGCGTTTACGAATGACTGAACAGTTTCGCCAATTTTTCTCTGGATTGGCTTATCTACATGGTCGTGATGAGGCTGTTGTTCACGGGGACCTCAAACCTGTTTGGCACCCATTCTCTTCATCTTGCGGAACTGAAGCTGATGTGATTATCTTGGCAGGCAAATATTCTCATCGACGATGCAGGCAATGCGGTGTTAGCAGACTTTGGACATTCTCGAATCCTTGGGATTTCTGGGTTCACGACAAAGACATGGACCGTAGCTGGCACGGGCCGCTACATGGCGCCAGAGTTGATGATACCTGAAGATGACGAGACAAAACCAATACCAACAACAGCATCAGATGTATGGGCAGCAGGGATGACGGGCCTACAGGTGCGCTTGCAGATTTGTATCCCTGGCGCTGGATTTTGATTTTGATGGTTAGATTCTCTCCGGCAAGATCCCGTATGTGGAATTCAAAACGGACTCCGAATTAGCCAAAGCCATTGCGGACAATAAATTACCCAACAAGGCACACTACGACCCTCTCGTTCCCTCCGGTGCATGGACTGCGTTTGTAAAATGTTGGGAAAGGAACCCGAGGGAACGACCACCTGTGCAGCGATTGAGCGATTACTTTGATAAAAATTATGGACCTGACTCAACCAGACCTACTAGAACTCGCGGTTAAACAGATGTAGACATAAATATTTGTTCCTTGTGTCTTGTTGCCTCATTACTACATCTGCACCTTATGGACAAATTACTTGTTGGTGTGGACACGGGCTACCCTGACTAAATAGTACTATGTAGTCAGCTGGCATTTTCCTGATGGAATCATGCGCATGCTGAACGTAGCCTGTCATAGCGGATGAAGGAGCGGGCGAATGAGGCTGAGGACATTAGTGATCGTCAGTTAGTGTGAGCAAACAGAACTTCATCTCCTAGTCGAAGATAGGGGCCATTTGCATTAAGTTTTAACACGGAGTCTGAAACCTCTCGTGGCACGTGACCGTGTTGTAACACGCTCTCCTTAAATCCTACCGTCTATTCTAAGTTTTGAGTCCTGACTTTTTTCTATAGGTTCAACCTAAATCGTTGTTGTGTTGATCCTTCGAGCTTGCATTTATCGGTTCCAATATGGGGAAAGAATCGGACGATGCAGTCTCTCAAGAATATCCATATTTCTGGTCCAAGGGGTCGAGCATAGCGTTACCAGACTTTCTAATGAAGGTATCGGATCACATCAATTATCAGACTCTTATTCTCTTCTAACTCATCCACGTGTTATATCAGTATAAACCGTCTATGGTCCAGAACGACGGCACCAAGCCAGTGAGTCTGTTTACTGTAATTCCGTACTCGCTGAATATAACCTGGCGTCCATGAAGTGGATATGGGTCGAAGGAAGTAAACAAAACCCGGATACATCTGAATCTAATGCAGCTGCTGCTATCAGTGAAGCTGCAGCATTTTGTATGTCATATCGTCAATGTACTCTGGCTCGCTGACAATCTACCTTAGTGAAGGAGGTGTCACAGAGAGTGGAAGAGATTAAGGCAGGTATTCAGTATTATTTGATGCTCTTTCCCTAATCGTATAGCAGAATGATGATTCCATCCCCATGCGCTCTAACAAAAAGACAGGAGCAAAGAGCAAAAAGGAAGTCCGTGAGAAGGTGATTCATTTTCACACTCGAAACTTGTGTGTGCTCAAAAGTTCAATAGGTACAAGCAGACGCTACCGAGAAACTGAAAGATATATCTATCAGGCACAACTACGTTTGTGGAAAATGGTTAATAATATTTCCGATCAATACTATCAGCAACCGGGAATGATTTTTGAACAGGTTAATATTCGCACCCGCAGATAAAGTAGACTTAATATGGTCCAAGATCGCTAGTAAGCTAGACTTCTATCATTATCAGTGCACCTATCACTGAATCCTCCAAGCATCGCTTGTGTCTGGAGCCCTTGCTTCAACTTGTGCATTTCTGACGAAAGTAGCAACATCGCCAGCAAATGAGACTCCACATCATCAACACGTCATCTGCCTCTATATGCCAGATGTCTACGATAAAGAGGCTGTCACAGATGTTGGTGTCGCTGTCATTTTCTCAAATTTCGAGCGTTGATTCTCTGAGCAGGTCATGAAAGTACTGTTGAGAAACCACGGTGTCAATCTCAGTGGCGTAAAATCGGATTTATACACAGGAGCAGGTGAGTATCAAACTGAATTATTGATACTACATGACGATGATTTCGGTGTCTGTATTCAGGACTCGATAGCAAACACTCGAGCGGAATTCCATCAACTGTAAGTCTCATGCAACTTAAAGATGATAAACCTTTGAGAATGTAATCAGGTGTGGAAAAACACCACTCTACTCGCAGATTCTGAGATAAAGGCAAGTGCATAGTTACGATGGGGACATACAAATGTCACTCATACTCCTATGCAGGACCTCAAAGATCTCTATTTCTCAGAGCTGAATGTTGCTTCGACCTCTGTAGCAAAACCTGACGAAAAGAAAGACCAGCCTTCCACCACTACAAAGAAAAAGCCTGTTCTCAAGAAGAAAACCCAAGATGATCCTTTTGCATCTGAGGACGAGGCTGATGCTCAAGAAGCGGAACGGAAACGAAAGGTGCAAGCGAAAGGGAAATCAGGGAAGAGATCCCAAACAAGCGATATGGATGTGGACGGCGATATGGATGTGAACGACGATATGGATGTGGACGGAGACGAGAGTGACAGACCAAAAACAAAGAAGAAAAAGAGTACACGGTGACGACCTCACTCATCACATTGTCACTGTTGATTTTTGTAATACCATGTTGGCTCGCCTTGTGTATATTATTCCCTGCTTCCTTTGTTTTTCGAACCAGTTCTAACCGCGGACTATCGTCGCATGCTCCATGTGTCAGCCCACGAGTATTTCCGTCGCGGTTTCCCGTGACGACAATCAGGGTGCGCCCTCAAAACTTGTGCTGTACCTTTCCCGTGTTAACTCTGCACGTGTGTGGCGTAGATACGGCGCCATTCACCATGCAGCAAGCTTCATATGAACATATGAACATCAGTTACGGCATCATTCATCTACACGACTAGAGGAAACATACAACTGCGATCAGACCCTCAAACTTTGTTCCAACAAGAGTCGTGGTAGACGGACACCCCTTGGTAGCGCTTGTCGCTGAGAAGTTTATCATCCTGTGGATAACTGCCGGATCTTGAATTAGATAATTTCAGAAGCCAGATCCTCGATGTCAATTCAAGGCATTCGCAGCTTCCATGCTCGATCAATCACGATGGATATCTAGAAGCCTTCATATCCGTTTCATGGCGACTGACTAGGTATCAACAAACTATAAGCGCTGAGTTCAGCGATTTGAGCTCCCACTCCTCCGAAGTTGGTCTCTGTTCATCTCCCACTTTGATATTAAGCTTTGCGTTACCTCGTCCCCACCCCCATACACGCCGAGAGCATATATGCTGCCCGATTTTGATACTCCTTCCGTACCGGCGACAATCCACTTTACTCTTGACCTAACAGCTACAACTACATGTGGAATTCTTGGAGCTCCCAGCATGATTCTAGGCTTGAACAAAGAAAAATTTGCGGCCTGCTCAACAAACTCAACGTGACAAACTTCGACTCCGTTTCTACTAAGTTGATCGAGCGTCTTACGGATTGTGGACGGCGCGGTTGCGCAGAGATCATCGAAGCCTTTGCTGTCTCGATTGCACTACGTGCAGTTGAGGATACCCAACGCTCCTCGCTCTACGCCTATCTTTGCAAAAGAGTTGACAGAGAGCTTGAGATGGAAGACAGGCGGTGGACATGGCTCAACGATGGCACGCGACAATTATCACACCCATCATTCGCCAGTATTCTTATCGAGGCTTGTGAAAGCAGATTCACGCAAGCCCTTGATGAGCAGGCAGCACATCTGTTCCCCTTGATCGAATTCATAGGGGATTTATTGTTGGATGGTGTTTTGCCCATCACCGACGTTCAAGACCTGGTGCAACAGCTCTTTAGCCTGGCAGAACAAGGCCAGGAAGGTAGTGCCATCGCGCTGAGCAGGCTCTGCCGCAGAGTTGCTCGAGAGCAAGAAGGAATGCACATTCTAGAGCAATTGGGTGCTTCAGGTAGCATCGAGAGAGTGCTGGAGGAAGATATCATCACGCCAAAAGCTCGTTACCTTCTGATGGTGAGTCATCGGATTATATTGTCGATTTGCCTGCTCACTTTTTCTTTCAAGGCTGTGGTGGACTTGTTCCACCAGGAGCTTGTAGACGTCTTTGACTCAGCGGCGCTTAGAAACGAGATTTACAATCTTGATGACGATGAGCAGGAAGTCTCATCAGAACTCGATTCGACACTAACGGATGTCGGTGATTTACCTCCTTCGAAGATAACTACCTGTGAGTCGGAGGATCAAGTGGAGATTTCCAAGCTGGACGCAGAGTGAGCAGAGGTTAACATGTGCCCCGCATTCGTTCCACCCGGAAGGTGATTGGATGGCTCTGAACATGCGATTGAACGGAGATACTAAGAAGTGCACTATAGATACAAATGAAGATGGATGCTTGGCGAGGACAAAATATGAACATAAAGATACCGAAATGCTTTCATTCAGTGGGGAGCTGCTTCTGTCTCTTGGCTTGCGAGTCTTGTTCTTCATCTGCTACACGAGACCGCTTGTTCCGTCTGATCTTTTTCATCTTGCGACGATCCTTGCCTAATCCGTCTGCTCCGCTATCAGGGCCCTCTACATCTTCTGTATGAGGCTTGTATGCAGCTGAATCTACAACTTGTCGTTTGCTCTGTCTCCGTTTCAGGATATGGGTCGATCGCTGCGGACTTTTCGATAGTGGATTTTGAGAGAAATCGCCCCCTTCTACGTCGGCACGGGTTGCTTTATCAGGAACAGATTCCTTTCGTCGGCGTTTAAGTTTGGGAGAACTGCCTTCTTCATCCGACGACTCTTCACCTGACGCCGAGAATAATGAAGATGCATTGTATAGCTGCACCTCAGACAAGGACGAGCTAAATGATGTCGCGATTGATCCTGCGGTGGAAACGGGTGGCCGCGAGATCGATGTCATTGGTGAACGCCGAGACGCCACTGAAACTTGTGGCGAGGTGGTAGTACTCTGTGACAGGGATGCGGAAAGCTTCAATCCTGCGGTCGATTTTCGGCCTTTCTTCTTGTATTGTGCTTCCTCTCCGGGTTGGAGCAGGAAGAACACCTCGTTTTCCCGGATTAGGTCCACTCCGACTAGTTGCCGCAAGATGCCGACCAGATAGGGATTGAAGTCCAAGGCCTCGATATTGCCCACCAAGCGAGAATAGTCCTCATAAGTTGCGGGACCATGATCCTGTATCTCCTCTTCGTCCATCAGCTCTTTGTCACCAAGAGAGCAACCGGGTACCACGAAGCATACTCTTGGCCCACCCTCCTCTTTAGGTAGACTGACTTTGTGGAATCGACAGTTAGAGCGAGTGACGGGTGAACTTGTCAACGCAGCAAAACGCTGAACGTTGGAAGAGGGGGTACGTGACAGAGTCGAACCCGAAGAGTAATCCTTTTGGCGCTCAGGGTTGTGGGAAGGGTCTGGGGATGCGATCTTGGTGCTGTGAGTCCGGACTGATGCAGAAGGTAGAGGTGGCAGTCGATGGCGGTGATGCATGGCACCATGTGCATGGAAGAGCGGCGGAGGATGTTGGATTGAAGAGGAATCACTTGGTGCAGAGGACACGATAGAAGAAGCCCGTGACCCATTGGCGCTAGTGAATTGGAGCAGTTTGGCGGTGGTACTAGCGCCAGAGCTTGCTGATCCGTGATCGCTACCGCTATCGAGGAGCTTCCGCTTCCGGCCGCGACCTGGCACAATCCGCGCTGCTTTGTGATCTCCTTGAGATTTCTTGTGTACGCTTGACATCGAACGAGTAAGACGACTGGAAGTTTGTACTGGTGACATTCTCTTCCGCTTCGAGGGCTTCGTTTGAGATTCTCGGTCTTCAGTATCTCCAGACTCCTCGGGTTCATGAACGCCAGGAGACTCGTGCGGTGTGTCCGGGACATTAGTGAAGTGTTCCCTGTGAATCCATTGAATATAAATCAAATGTTCGTATTGATGTGACGCACAATCCATATTTAGAATCAGTGTACTCCTGGCTGTCGTCTTGGCCAGGTTCACGAACGGATTCTGGTGATACCTGACGGCCAGGTGCCAGCGATGGCAATGATTCTTGTTCTGACAGAGGACTGGGTAAGCGGGAGTTCGCGGATCCGAGGACCTCTGCGGGGAGAGCTTCAGCTGCTGATGCTAGAGCGTCTTCAGGGAGATCATGATCATGATCTGGTGAAGGTGTTTGATCTGCTGCTGTCGGCAGAGTGCTTCTGTCCACCTGCTGAACTTCCTCAGATTCTAGCGAAGCTACTGCAATGTCCTCCACTACTGAGCGGTGTCCAGCGGCAGGCTTCGTTGGTGGTTGTTCGGTTTGATTCTCTGCATCAGCACCGACGGACGAAGGATAGGATACGCCAAGCTGCATAGCTTCTACGAGTTCAGATTTATCATCTTCTTGGTTACCAATAAATGTCCCGGCTGGACTTGGTTCAGTAACTACGATGTTGTCGGAAACATCGATCATGGTGGTGTCAATTTCAGATCGCGACTCTTCTGCTAGAGCGCTCGTAACGGAGGCCACGACATCGTCAGAAGACGGAAGCGGTAGGTCTGCATGAGAGGGTGAAGGAGTGCCAAAGACATCACCTGTATCCACACTAGTCGGCTCGCCCTCCCGAGGCGTGAAAAGACCACTTGGACCGCTGCTGCCTTCAGATGGCGATTCCCGACGAGAGAAAGTATGCAAAATTGACGTGGAGACGGGTACTGAGACTGGAGTGGGTTGGCCTGGTGTGGAGTCCGGGCTGATGATGATGTGAGGGGTACCCGGAAGTTTGTCCAAAGGTGGAGGAGTCAGTTGCGAATGCTTGGTCCCGGAAGAGATGATAGGGTCTGACACGGAGGGATCACAAAATATGGGCATTGGGAAGACCGAGACGTTGTGATTATCAAATGAGGATAGTTCCGCAGAAGCAGGTTTCGCTGTAGCAGGAACAGTCTCCGCCACCACGTTGACTAGGTCAGCGGCCTGAACCTCCGGCTCCTGTAAAGCATGCAAAGTTTAAATGATGAAGGTCATTTGAGGTTAGACTCACCACCGACGCTTCTGTAGGAGGTTCCTCAACTACATATTCGCCATCGAGATCACACACATCCCCGGCAAAAGATGCTACCTCGATCCCTTCACTCATTCCACGAGAAATAGGAGTAGTAGCTTCCATCTCCACAACAATACAGATAGGCTCGTCGTTGGGTTTGTCAAGTTGTTCCTCAAGAGAGCCACCGGCTGTGGAGGTGGGCGCAGCAGAAGGAGAATCATGTTCGACATTCTCCAAGGTTACGTTCTCAAAACCATTTTGGATCTCCGTGGCAGGGGTCGGTTCGATCGAGTTGCATGATTCTACCATAGCATCTGGATGCTGTGACCGAAGTTCCATATCCCCAGGCTCCGATGCCTCCGTTGGCACCATAATGTCGCCTGTTCTAGCAGTATTTAGTGATACAATTTGTGACTGAATCATCAAGTCACTGACCGGCTTTCTCAATGCCTGGCGGAGACATCACATCTCCGCCAAGAAACTCAGCAGCAACCATACCGCTGATGTCAACCAGCGTAGTCTCAACTTGTTCGGTCACATTTGCTAAAGGTAACGCTTCGCAATTCAGGAGATCAAAGAAACTCTCCACTGCAGCGCGTTCATCAGCATTCAGCTGGGAGTTCAAAAGCGGAAACTCGTCGACTTCTGGAGTCTTAATGTCATCTTCTTCAACAACTTCCAAGCCTAATACGTTCTGGTCGTCACTGCGCTCGTCCTTCTCCTGATGAATCTCGTCGCCATACCCAAGGTCACTGGTTCCTAGTGGAATAGGACCTTCTGGAGCTTCTTCGCTCCCATCTTCTTCCTCATCATGTTCCGCATCAATAATAATGATCTCATCCTGCGCCTCTTCAGTGTCGTCAACCCCCGACCTTGGAGAAGAAGTTTCGAGGTGTCCAGCGCGGCTAGCAAACTTTCCTCGCGGGAACGCGGGAGGCCAATTCCAGTCAAGATGTTCGGTAGGTTTGGAGTAGGTTTGGGGAGTGGACATCGATCCGCTATGGAATTCATCAAATGAGGAGGCAAAAATCACTGAATAAGAAAGATTTGAGTGAAACCATGACACAAAATGTGGTGCATGGACAAACTTTGTTGCTCGTCTTGAGACAGGCTGTCTGCGTCTCGATATAAATGGTCAAGAATGTTCTCGGGATCTTCGTGCTCCCCATGGGTCCCTCGCACATTCGAGAGCTGGTAATCATCAACATGACTACGACTGGAGCGCGCCTCGACAGGAGATGACGGAGGAGGGCTCGAATCGGGGAGTACCTCATCGGTCACGTCTACATTGACTACAGCAAGTTCTGTCTTGGGAAGACCAGAAGAATGCCCGTCGTCCTGTACTATGTCGGAAAGAAATGTATCTACGTGCGCGTCATGCACAGGAGTAAGACTAGAAGGGGAAACGCCGTTCAGCTGATCTTGCGCATTGAAATCACCGCCAGCGTAGAAATCTTCTGCGTATGTTTGTGGACCCTGCCATGGATCAGGAAGTTCTGGAGACAGAGAAGGTTGACGCTGCGTAGTGGATGGAGGGAAATCTTGATATAAGGTCAATTAGCGCATGGCGAATGATTTTGTCAGAGCATGCTACCTTCGACTTCTTCTGCATCGAGCTGGCCTTCTTGTTCATACAGGACAGAACCTGGCTCATCTTCTACCTCATCAGGAAGTAATTGCGAAGACCGGGCATACTGCCTGCCACCGAATCCAGTTTCATGTATAGGAGCTCGAGTATCTTCTTCCTCGTCCGAGCATATCTCAATAATGTCCGGACTCTCCTCCCTAGAGGATATCTCCTCCACCTCATTTTTCTGGACTTGAGGATCGACCAGGCAGTGGCGGCGGTGTACAGTCCAGTTCCCGGCTTCGTGATGGCCATCATAACCCTCGCCTTCCTCCTCGGGAAAAAAGCCCTCTGCTTCCATAGCAGAGTATTCCTCGTATTTCTCCTCACTTTCAGCACCTGACTCGGAGTCGGAAAGCAATTCAATCGGACTTTGCTGAGCACCGAGGCCAGAGCCCTCTCGCGGGTCCCTAGCCTTGCCTTTGGCGCGTCTGCTCTGGATCTCAGCAAACGAATCTTCGAACGACTGGTCTGAGAATGTGTCCTCGGCAGCTGCGTTAACATCCAGTGGCTGGTGTTCGTTAAGCGTAACGTCTTCTTGAGTTTCCTCACCAAGTGCTCTGCGCAGAGCACTCGTGATTCCACCAATCCATTCGTCGAACTCCGGTTTGGTGAATTTATCGTACGGGTTGTGAATAGGCCGCCTCAGAGACTTGGGATTTGTGGAGACAGGCGTAGTTTGTGGTGCAGGAAGGATGGGAAATGGCGAACGCCAGCTGGTCGACATTCTTGTTGGTCACTGTGGCAGCGATAGACTCGCAAGAGTAAAGCCAACTACTTCGATATCTGATGATTTTATGAAATGAAAAAAATGAAGAGGAACGCGTCTTGCCAGTGGTCACGAGCAACAAGTTAGGATGAATGAAACAACACGAGACAACGCATTTTGAACTCAGCGACTAGATCTAGTACCACTATGACAGCAGTGGAGTGGACTCTTCCAAAATTTGGTTGGTTGTCGACTAAATAGATTCGCGAGTCTCCTGCTTAACAAGTAGACCCTTGCAGTCAGCTTGGAGTCTCTGTCTCTGGACAGACATAACGACTTGCGGATCTTTCGTTCGTAATTGATTATTTCGACCCTCCTTTAATCGAGCAGACTGCACCGCATTGTCAAGCAGGAGTTTCGCCTTGACAGCCTTTTATAGACGAAGAAATAAGGTCGTTCCTTTCAATGGTCGAGCAGTGACAGAGAGAAATGGTGAGCGTTATGATATGTTGAATGCCTAGCATGACAGTCCTAGTAATTGTATTCACGGGCGCCGCGGTCGCGTAATCAAAGGGGGTCAGTCCATTTCTTCATTGCACATCGAGTACTTGGACTTCATTGACAATAGAGCAGTAGTTGAAGGTCGCTCGTGGTATTCCCACTCGAACGCATGTCTGGCACGGTGCAATCATGGCGATTGACGTGCATTCTTAACTCTTCCAATATCACACCACATGACTAGGACTGGTTGCTCATGCGCACAGTCCGAGGATGTAGATGTCATCAGCTCCGCGGACGATCTATGGAATGACAAGGTTCTACAAATCAGTAGCTCGGCGGCGGCCTCAGCCACCGTTTCAAGGCTATTGTACTGAGGAAGCCGAGTCCTGCATGAGAACTTGATCAATCGAGGGTTGGGCATATATAGCAGCGTGTACCATGTCACAGAAAATACATCAAGAGCATGAGGTCAGTTTAAGTGTCCTCATATTTCCCATACTGCGGAATCTGCAGCTCGTCAAGTTGACGCCAAGCCATGATCTACGCAATACCAACGAATTTAGCAGGCTGCAGAAATTGAGGTCCAAAAAGTGGACACCTAGCAAGTGGTCGTTATCATTCAAGCAAATCATCATCCACCTCTCTCGCTCGCCCTCAATAGACCTAGCGCTACTAAAGGACTAGAGAACACGAGCCTCTCAGACCACCAGCCAACCAACCAAGTCCACCACCTCACTCGTCTCTTCTTTTACAGAGTTCTTATTCTACTACTGCACCTGCGGTCGAGCTTGCGTTAAGTCACCTTACCGTCAGCACCTTCACACACCATCCATGCACGTACAAAGCTGAGAATCTAGTGTTCTCAGGCACAGATTTAGAAGCTAGCTGAGCCTAAACTCTCGTGCGCCGCAAACATAAAATGCTTATCCCCCTACGGTAGCGCTCAAGAGTTTAATTGACGTTAGTCTTCGATTGTAATGTTGACTCGGGATGTGCCATACCGAAACTGAGTATTATATAAGGAGGGGTGCACAATCGTGGATCTCGGAAACTGTGCGAGGATGTCGCACGCGAGGAGAACGAGAAATCTGGAACAAAATGACGTGACGAGGGAAATCTGATAAGAGTACAATGCCCGGACGTGCTCCGGGACAACTCAAACGTAGCTCCATGAGCTTAGCATCGCATGCCTTCAGGAAGAGAACACGGACAAGTTGGGCTCAGATAGTGATTGGGAATCACTAGGTTGGCATCAGAACAAGATATCATGGCACCTTAGCACTCCGTTATCACAGGCACATACGTACCCTTTCCACTTATCCGTGGTGATGCAGATAAGGGCCCCAGAGCTGGTACATCCCCAGAATTCTAGGGTTTGGAATGCAATCGAAACTTCCCATCTTATACAGCACGACACGGGTATCTGCGCAGAGTGTACAGCTGTTTGATGTACACGGTTCTAACCAAATGGGACATACTGAATGAATCACTTGCAGCAGGCCGCATGGAGTATCATTAAAAAGTAACTGTAGATGTACTTTTTAGTCTTCAACATATCATGAACCAGGAGCGCCTTGATCAGGAAGCCGTTCGATGGCATAACGCCTGCTGGCGATATACATTAGCGGTACGCCAGGAATCTGTCGTATACGCCTCCGGAGTTCTTGGTCGCAAGTAGCGACAATATAGCACTTGTGAGCAGTGACACGCTGCACCAAGCAGTCATCTGCGTACGTTCCGGAATGGCTGCAGTTCAACCGCTCGAACCGTGGATCTCGAGCAACACTGATGGAAAACGTAAATGAATGCGCCGACAGCATGATAAATATTGTCTTACCGAAGTGCTATACGATACCGGTGGCCGAGCTTCTCTAATTCAGCCATAACACAGTCCGTAACACAGGGTATGCCTGTCAATATTACTGTCAACAGATACCCGGCAATTGCGACAAGACCACAAACAGTTAGCAAATAAACAGTCCATCATACCACTGACTAGTTCAAGTTTATTTTGTAAACTGAAATTTATGAAGTTTGTGTCGATCAACACTCGGTAAGGTGGCACAAGTTCGGTGTTGTGCGCAAGGAACATGGACGATGCGATCTGTGGTCTGAAATGCATGGGTTACTTACAGTTGCATGCCCAATAGGTTACGGAAGACTCACACTCGGCGGACCGCCTTGGCTTTCTCTTCCTCTTCTTTCTTCTTCTGCTTCAATTGGTTCTCTTTTCTGCATCAAAGGATTCAGCGACAAAGCGGGGCGGCTGGTCAGGCAACGCACAATCTAGCATCATTGGGGTTCAAGAGGCGTTTTACGGCGGCAAACTTTCTAGTTTTCTTTGCCTTGCCCTGATAATGACAGTCATTAAAGACGATTGCAAGTTATGAAGTGCACTTGCCATGCTTTGAATGCACTGAGAATCTGAGATCAAGTTTTCAGACCGTACTGCTTGAGTCAGCAACAACCCTGAAGTCTTTATTCTCACGGCACGAAGTCCAGTTGCTAACACCACCATCTTCAACAGCTCTTGGGGGAGGCTGTATTCTAGAATAAATACCTTCTGTCTCAGAGGTACATAGAGATGATCGTTGGCAGTTCATGTCGCGCCAATAAGTTAACTCGGGTATAAAGTGCTATTGTTTTCAATTCTGCTCCGCATACGTGCCAATGGTTTATTTCATTCATCGACAGAGTCATCGCCCTAGGCTAGCATTCATGTGCACAACCCGCTGAACATCTGTCTTGGTATGTTTGGCCTCTGCTGATATGTGTTCTATAGGGATTATTGGGATAATGAAGACCCTTCGTGATAACGATCGACAGACTGCGGCGTTATACATGACAAAAAAACCATGTGCGTGCGACTGTGATCTCGACTCCTGTCAGATTCCTGGTTGCGAGGGGTCGAGGACTTTCGTCCGCGGCTTGACTGCCTAAAGCCTAAAATATCGACTGCAAGTACACGAATGACTGCCACGGTACATATCGTCATCAGATAAGATCTATATAGTTGCTCAATCCTTCGAGTTCGCAGATGTCAATTCATGGGTATCTGAACCGCCCGCCTGGTACTTCTTAGTTGTGCTTGGTAAATGTGCTTGCGAGCATAGATATCGGACGGAACATACTTCAAATTTTCTCAATCGTCCCTGTTGTCTAATGTTAAATATCCAGAAAATTTGACTTTCTTTTCCCTATCAGAACTTCAACAGTTCGTCCAACAGCCCTTCTTAGTTTGCAGCCAAGCATGTTGGCCAATGATTCATATAGTACTGCATCTACCAATGTCGAGGTGTGTTTAATCTCGCTTTCCGTTGAGGCTATCGCAAGCTGACAACATCAAAAAGCTGACATGTGTTCCAGATGATACTACTGGCTTGGAGCGCATAATGCTTGCGGCACAGGGCGATTTACAGAGACTACTGAGGTAATGATTCATTCACTCTCGCCGCGCTAAGCCAGACATTAATACTTTTACTCTCCAGCTCATATTTTGGCCGCCCTATCTTTATCGAACTTATCTACGCACACTGCTCTTCCCGTCTTACTCCTGCAAGTTCAGAGAACCCCATCACACAATCACGACAGGTGCATCTCGTGTGTGCGTCATGCACTGTCTGCGTTGCAACATCCACTGTTACCATCACCTCTCCCCAATGCGAACGTCTGTTTCTTGATGAAAAATTCCCAATCGGGCAGACTTTCCGACGACTTAATCGTACTCCAAAGTTTAGTCTCCTCAACGTAGAGACACAAGCAATCGATGGGAAGCGTGAACTTCGGAGAACGTATAAGCTGGAAACCGAGGGCTTCGTTGCAGAAATCTTGGAAGTATTTCCGGACAGAGACATGTTCGTCCGTGGAGAGGCATGGCTGATGGAGCAGAGGGCTGACTTGAACACCTCTTGCACTATCGCAACAGACACGAAGCCTGAGTGGCTGTCCGTGCGGAAAGGAAATACTGTTCATTAGGGTATTACTGAATGAATTTGATTGACTAGACCTTCACATGTCTTTATCTTTCTTACGAAGCGTGTTCGCGACTCGGATTCGTCATAAACACTTCGCTTCTGCGATTTACAGAATCGACCGATCGCCTTCTACCGCCGGCGCGCCCGTGTCAAATATCAATACAGAGACACTAGTGGCTACCCCACCCCCATTCAGTTGGCTACTTATTTGACTACGATTAATTATGAATAGACTGGATTGCGTGACATCGAAGTAGTACCTGAGCAATCCGCGAGAACACTGGCAGTACCTGTACCTGCTTCGTATACCTTTCACACACGTGGCCCCCGAACGCGTCGGTATATCAAGATAGATCGAATGACTCATTTTACTAGTATACTCTGGTCTGACTTTAGTAATGCATGTTTAGTAGTCTCCCCCACGTAGACACAAGAAGACAGTCAGGGATGCTGTGATCTGTTACCAATATGAAATTGTTCGGCTCCTACAGCAAGATGCGAGCAGAGGTGAAGATTTCATTGAGTCATTCACCGTTCGGCAAGGACCTCTATAATTTCATTGATATTTTTGTTCTTTTTCTTGCGAAGTAGCTATTATGCACTCCCTCTGATGCATTGGTAGCATATATGACAGTTCAGTATGTCATAGCATGTGTGTGTTTTCAATTAGGAATGATAAATGCAAGCCCGCTACATAGAGAGGAGTAGAGTGAGGCTTGGGCTGGCTGGAGAGGCCAGAAATTAATGTTGATATGGTAGAAGTTCTGGAAACTACCAAATTAGGACGTGTTTCCGGGTGGTAGTTGTTCGGGAAGACAATACATGGCTTTATGTTCGCCTTGCAACTTCAACTTGCAAGATCCCAGCCTATTGAAATCATTTATCGTTGATTGAAGTACTACTAGAGGATATTTGGGGCGCCATTTGAAGCAATTTCTACTGGCCTGGTGCTATTCACCAATTTTAATCAGAGCCGACAAGATTTCCCTTGTCTTTGTATTATTACGTTCCTGTGTTGCGCTGCTGGCGGCTAGTTTTTGCCACGGGCTGGCGACAGCCGAGTGGTGGTAAGAGGGCACCGCGCACCCTGACACAGGATCGACATGCGACGGCCAGGCAGCCTGAGGCAGGCACTGATGCGTCATAAGATAAACAGAAGTTCAATGAATACAATTGGATGTATGGGCACAGCCAGAGATCAATATCAATCGAGATTTGAGGTGGTATGCGGCCCTACCAGGCCAGGTACCAAGTGGTACAACTTCAGTTACAGGCCATGAGCTACATACTTTGCTTGATAGACTTGTATCTGCGCAATCAATTGCTGGGGGTCTATCGGGAGACTGGTGGTATATCTATATCTTGAGATCTGGGATGAAATGAAGTTGAAGATAAGAGTCAGTCCTACCGAAAACGGATCCGAAGAGGATGACACAGAGAATACCGAGGGGGCGATGAATTACGCTTCTGAGAAAAGATGAATCCTTTAGAATCGCCCACATTATGGCAGGACTGCCGCTGGGGGAGCGACTTTGGCTGAACTTCAAAAGTTTACACGTTATGCAACAACTTGCAAGTGATTGCACACCGTGACGTGAATGATGATTTCCAGAAACCTAGGCACGCTTCGCGTAAAACATTGACACTAATCATATTAGTATGATTGTGTGCTGCAGGGTCAGGCGTAGGAGCTTATCTGAGTAATAGTCTCAACGCCTGTGGTCCTCGAGGCTCGATACGATTTAGGCAGCTCCACAGTAGAACCGAAACCGTCCCCGACTTTGTGCGAGTGAGAATGCACTTTCACTAGCGTGACAGCTTCCAGTTGGTCGTGATCTTTGTCTGACGTTCCTCCAGTACCTTTGGATGCCTGAGCGTACATAACAGTTGCCAGGTCCAAAGTATGGATCAAGTTGCGAGACAGTCGGTCCAGACCGTCCAAGCGATAAGTATTGATCACTAATGATATTTTTGAATCAGCGCTAATTGAGATCGACCCTTGTGCCGAGTCCCGGACCTGACTCATCTCAGTAATCTGCTTTGCTTCTCTTCTCGAAAATAGTTGCTGTACGGTGTATGGAACACGCGACACGGGTCATCTGTGACGTAGTTCTAGACTAGTGGGTGAGCTAATGCACGGCCGATATATTGATTGTGTTTAACATAAGCAGTTGTATAGCGCGCCCATCTATCATCGAGGACGTAAAGATTCTCATGTTTTCACGTACAATAAAGCCATGTTGAGTTGATAACCAAATCGCGACCGAGTAATCATGGATAGACAAGATAGGCTTACAAGATCCTTCGCTTCACTTATCACTACATCATTTGGCTCCGTCCGATGGAAGTGAAGCGAAGAACTTGATTTCAAATTTCATTGTGCTCCGTGTCGTACTGTGGGAGTCCGAGAGCCTTATAAGCCTAGGACTCATCCACCGAGCACCTTAGGCCTTCTTTTCATTCGCTCTTTGTACAGCACGCGCCATAATGATCAGTAAGGACTCATTTAACAACGCATCTACGTCCGTAGAGGTAACGATACTGTCGTCATGCTTTGGACCTGTCTCAACCTCCGCCTTTACAGTTGACATGCGTTCCCGAGGATACTACTGGCATTGAGCGCATCATGCTTGCAGCTCAAGGTGACCTCCAGCGAGTGATGAGGTATGTCAATTGAAGTTGGATGCGGTGACACTTGCTAATAAATAACCGCCTTTCTGTAGCACGTTCTTTGCTCGGCCCATATTTATTGAGCTCGTGTATGCCAACGGCTCGCCACGGCTGAAACCGGCCTCGCCTGAGGATCCCCTAACGCAGTCGCGGCAGGTACATCTCGTGTGTGCTTCACGAATCGTCTGCACCGCTACATCCAAAGTCACCATCACACATCCCGACTTCGAACGTCTATTTCTGGACGAGAAGTTCCCCATTGGCCAGACATTCCGCAAAATGCTTCGCAGCCCACAATTTTCCCTCCTTGACGCCCAGACAAATGTCGTTGGTGGCAAGCGGGAACTACGCAGAACGTATACGCTTGAGACCGATGGTTTCCTATGTGAGATCCTCGAAGTATGGCCCGACAGGGACATGTTTGTTCGTGGAGAGGCATGGCTCAGTGAGAGCAAGCTTGAGCCCGAACAGACATGTGTTGTGGAGAGTAAGGATAGCAAGCCCTGGTGGCTTACTGCCTCCAAGGGCAACACTCTACCCTGGGGATTCGATTGCACGAAAGGTCTGGAGCGTTCGCCGTTGGTGTACTATCACGATATTTGGTTTGTTTCGTTGTACTTGCTCCTTTTATACCTCATATAGATATAGATAACTATCACTAACATAGCATTTCCTGACATGGATACCTGGATTTATACGACTGGGTTCGATGTATATTACTTAGACAGCCGTAGGCAGCCCCAAGGTTGATATTTGGTTATTTCCTGAAAACATTCGGATCGGTGCCGATAAATGTGCGAAGAACTTAACACTGATCGTGTCGTGTCTTTTACCATCCTGATTGACAATTGTCCTAACCAAGGAGTTCGTACCCTGCAGGTTTCCAAATCACGCTTCTGAACCAACGTCACCGGTAATCGTGTGCGAGTGTTGCCGGCCGTATATTCAAGATGAAGGAAATGAAAAGGACTCGTTTAGACTTGTACCTGGCCGCCGTGTCACCACAAAGCGAGAACGCTAGCGAATAACCAGAGATAAACTTGCCTAGGCAAGTACCTGTCCGTCTTGGCAGGCAGATATTCTGGATTCCGGAGCCCGATGTGTGAAATAAGATATAGATGAGGGAGATCCTGGGAGAACGAGAGAGAACGAACTTCACGGTGACGAACAAGTTATCAAGACTCATGTGCAGTATTCCTATACTAGTTATTGTGACAGACCGGAGCCGCCAGTCGATTGATTGCCAAGCTTGCCGTACGGATGATCAGATACAAGGAAACCGATTCCACTGCATGAACTTTACCGTTGAAACGTACGTCTAAAGTCCACAGGCACGTGTACATTGTAAAAAAAATGTACAGTAAATATTCGAAAGGGGGGTCGCTGACAGAAATGAGATTGCCGCCCGGAACACGCGCGCCGAGTCCTGATCACAGCAAACATGTTTGAGAAGAGGCGATGTACACGGCCAGGAACGCGGAACGAGATGGCGATGACTCGACGGAACGGCGTATGTACGGAGATTTGAAGGACATTATCCGCACTGATATCGGCTGCTACTATAGACACCCTGGCCAGGAAATAGTACAGGAGGCGGTCTGGTCCGATCATAGCAACGAAAAACCTTGTCCTATGAAAAGATGGTATTTGTCTGAGAGCTCACGTTGGTACTAGAACGGCCCCTCTTCCTCCGTCTTTAACAGACACCAAAATGGTAAGAAGTTTAGGATGTTTCACTAAAATAGAGATATGAGGCAGTGGCAGGCAGAGCCACCACCTTTGATATCGGAGCGACACCCTGCTGACTGACTAGCGTAGTGACGCGGGGTTCGTAGTGGGAGTCGGCCTTCAAACAAACCGAGGAAAGTAAGCTCACGGTATACAAATTTCAGAGATGCATGACTATCGAATCATTGACGACATTGCTTTGCGTTTCCAAGCGACCGAAGTACAGATGCGGCAACCACAAAGGAAAGCTGAGCGCTGAAGGCCCGTATTGGGCCCGTATATCCGTATCATGATTAACAAACGTTGTGGATGCTGCTGCGGTGTTGGGCACACATAATCTTGCTATCCACGTTCCTCGCGTTGTCGTGGCTGACGGCCCGAGAGCCTCATGAATGACTGTAGACAAGAAGCATGGCGAGTTGACACTTTGGTTGCTCCCGAGTTCAGTAGCATGTATGATGGACAACGTGTGTTAGTATCCAAGCGAGATGCAGCAAAAATGAGTGGAAGCGTTGATTCCCTTATCAATACATCGACTCGGAGCAAGCATCCGTGGGTGTTGCTACTGTGGTGTGATAATGGTCATGTTGAATCTACGTTTCTCACCGCGGCCGTGTAGCTAACGGCAACACTTTGTGATAAGATACAGACCAGTCGGAAAGAAGACACATGAAGGTTTCATCTGGGTACGATACTGAACCCTGACTAGGATCGTGGTAGGGATCGGCGGCGATACTGAGCATGCGAATGATGTGAAGATAGGTGATAGTGGAATACTGCCACAGCGATGTTCAAGGTCTAAGCCAGGTGTTCATAGGACGCGAGGTGCCCCAACCTGCCGTATTTTTGATTATCACGAAGCTCAGAGTAGGCCGCTGTGTCCGTCGCTGTCGCTTTCGCTTTTACTACGCTGTTGCCGCACGTGAGAAAACTAGCAGCAAAATAATTCAAACTCAAACTACTATTTCCGACAACTTGATTGCCTAATCCTTGCCCTTCCCTTGCCCTCACCACCCTTCTTCATACCTAGCCTTCATTTATAATGTATATGTGTTTTTTTTGTAGTTTATAAAATGTGGGATTAAAATACCATATTACTGATTCAATATTGATTTGATATCCATAATATTTATCCGAAGGGTTAGGTATTGACAGATGCAGCAGCTGCAACAGAAACTTTGCATGGCCAACTCTTTGATTTGTGTACTTGCATGTATGATGTCAAACATGAATGGGATTGAGCAAAGCTTCACATCAAGATGATGGAGATGAACAGATCCACACACTGCATCAGGAAATCACTGAATTCCTTTTCATACTTAATTTGTCCCTTACTTACCTTAATTGTAGCGGCGCATGCACCAATCCCTGACTCAGCCGACAAACACCATTACTCAGTACTCAGTGAGTATTGGTTTCCCTTTCTTTGTTGACACCATACTTGGGCTTCTAATTTTAACAATACCACTCAAATCCTGGCCTCTCATGCCTTCTGATTAGGCATCGGCACAGGTAAACCCACGGGTGTCCAAGGTCAGACCCGTACCCATACCTGCCAGTTACCTGTACCCGTACACCCAAGGGTATGGGTCTTACGACAGGTACTGATGGGTAGCAGCGGGTATGCAGTGGGTATGCAGGTACTTGATGGGTATGGCATTAAAATACACTGTAGATACATAGGTCAAGTTAATAAAATGTCATCCCAACCATCCTCGAGATCAGCCTCTTCTGCCTCGAGGTCTGGCAGCCTTGCAAGCGACATAACATCACCATCTTTTACTAACCCTATCAAGCTCCAGCAGCCTAGGCAAAGTATAGTGTGTGTAGTCTCGGCAGAAAGTCATGACCAGACATGAGACAAAAGTAAGCAGCCCTGTGAGAAAACACATTCAACATTGACAGATGTTGCTAAAAATGAATGTTAGAGTGCACAACACACCTGGAATGGTCAAGAAGTCGAGTGCCATGCGAGGGCATCCTCCACTTCCTCGATGTCAGTGTTGAGGTATGCGTCGAGTTTGCTGATCACAGAAGTCTTTGCAGGCTTTGCAAGGGCAGGTAGGCGATCAAAAATGTTAGTAGTATCATCATCCTGTAGTGCTAGATTTAAATATGAAAAAATAACATAATAAACAAACCAATGACGCACCTGGGCTATTGGGTCACCTGAGTCTTCCAATGTCTGAGTGGCTCCAGCAGAGTGGGATGCGTACAAGCACTTGTACGTATTGTGGACAATGCTACGAGCTGCCGCAATCCATTCATCCTCCCATCTGGCGGCCTTGAAGTATTCAAGCTTGTAGCATGGATGCAAAACTACAAGAGAGTCAGTAAATTAGTAGTACATACATGAAAAAAGGACATACCCATGGCGATGTGGTAGGTCTCTGACTTATCGGTAAGAGAATAATACCTTTCTAAAGTCTTCTTGGAAAAATGCAGAGCAGTGTGAATAGCAGGGTCGAGTAGTTGAGAATTAATGATTCCATTAGTGAAGACTGTATTAATGTGCCAATCCATGGCAAGATTAGGTGTTCCCTGTGAAAAAAAGAGTGTAGCATGCTTCAAGATCTGTTGTAGTACTTCGGTGAGACCAAGTGCAGCTCTGTGACATGTGACATACCTTCAATATGTCACATAGCTGTCTTGCAAGTGTCCACTCCTTCTCACTCAACTCAAAGGCCCCAAACCCCAATCGTCATTTGTCTGTCATCACGTCAATTGCAGCTCAGTACTCGATCACAAATATTAGCATATCAAACATTGAGTTCCACTGTGTCAAGACATTGTGGAGCATGATTCTTTCTGGTAGCTTCAAGTCAGCCAAGGTTAGTTTCCATTCTAGAAGAATTAGTGTTGTTAAATGGATCATCTTATAGGCAAGCTTCCAGAGCTGTTTATTGTTGTCAGATGATGGTTGCAAGGTATGTGTTTGATTGTACAAACATTGACGAGGAGTAATCTAATTGGCTGTATGTTTGTCTGTAGCTCTTTGTGCTCGACATCCATCAACTCAGATGTTTCATCCATCCATTCTTTGATATTATCGACTTTGTTGGCATCTGGGTCCCCATCTCCATTTTCAGCTATTGTTACCCGGTCCTCCCACTCAATATCAGTTGCAAGTTCTTGCATGTCTTCTTCAGCACTACTAAGGACCTCATTGGCCTTCTTTTTGGGTAAGTCAAACTCCTTAATGAAGCTTTTTGCAATGAGATTGACCACATGTAGAAAGCAACATGTCCGCACAGATTCCCCATCAAAATGTGCTACAAGGGCTTCGAGTTCAGCAGTCATGGTGTCGTTATTGGATGTGTTGTTGGCAGTGACACTCAGGATCTATGAATATGTAAGTTTTTGTGTGCCTATGTCAGAGTATGACTCACCTTGTCTGTTATTCCAAAGTCTTGTAGAACTTTTGCAAATGCTTCAGCGAGATGGAATCCAGAGTGTGACTGGACAGAAAATAAGGTTCATTTTTGTGTTCAGCACATGTATACTCACCTTTGCAACCTCTACAATGTCCAGAAGCATTGCCAATGGTTTGCCCTCATGCTCAAGGTGAACTGAAATGGCAACAAATGCCTTGTGGTTTGGCAAAGTCCATGCATCCGTGGCAAAGTTCAATTCATCATCATAAGTCTGTAGCATTTTTGCAATATGTTTTCTGACATTGATGAACACAAGCTTGACATCACAGGATACCATCGATGGCGATGGGATGTAGTATTTAGGGCATCCAGTTTTCATCAAGCATTGGAACCCTCTATTCTGAACGATCTCAAACGGGCGCAAGCTTTCACTGACCCAGCATACAATCTCGGCTCTGATAAACACCGTGAGTTTACAGTTGCTTCACAATTTAATGTACTCACTTTGTCTCTGTCTTTGTATGTTGCTGGTGTGAATATATCACCCTACCCTTACCCTTTCTGTTGAATGTAGTTATGATTGAGCCAGTCTGCAAAATACTTGTAACCACCCCATTAGACTCTGCTGTTTTTGCATTTTGGGCAGCCTCATATGCAGCCTCACCCCAACAACTCCTGACATGTTTCGCCA